ATTACCGCACGGCTGTGCCAAAGACGTGCAACACAAATAGCGGCAAAGAGGGCCAGGGGGTGCGGTCGGGGAACTTTTTATATTCCAGCTTCTGCAGGCCTTGCTTTTCGCTCTTCGCTCCTCGCTACTCGCTCCTCGCTTTCCCTTTGGCAAGGAAAGGAAAACCCAAATCACTCTGCCCTTACATTTTCACAGGCTAAGTTTTCCCCGATGGTCTTCACCTCTTTCTCGCTGGGATGCCAGTGATTGGTAGAGGGTAAGCCATAGTTTGGGTTAGTCCGGGTCCGAAGTTAGGGATAGTTGATCTATAATAATCAGTAATACTATATATAGTCCTATGACTTAACTTGATAGGCTAAATCCAACTTTAATCCTTACCTAAGTTGTGGTATATATGGTACCTTTGGCATAACCATATACTTATTACTGGCCTCTCACTTCCACCTTGAGGCCCTATTTCTATCTATCCTTGCCAACCCTCCTTTGATACGCCCTCACCCTGGTGGCCCTGCCAGCTACACTTTTATTCCTCTTTGCCCCACGGACAGGACCTGTCCCCCGCTTTTTCATTTGGTTTCATTTCATTTGGTTTCGTTTACGTTTGTCATTCATTCCGGTTCATTTGCCCGATTGTGAGTCACCGTCATTATGATCGCCATCATAATCATCGAAGCGGTGGCATCATTATCAGCTTTATCAGCGGGGCGGCTGGAAAGTCGTCACCTCGACGGATAAAAGTTGTTGACCCACGTTGGCCTAGCATTGAATTGCTAGGATTGAAGCCCCTGCCTATCCTCTTTCGACACTCGAAGGTGTCCTGGCATTTGAAGAGGCCCAAAGACAGAGACAGAGACAGAGACAGAGCATCGCTGCTGGGCAGGAGCACTTAACCCTAATTCCTGCAACTCTGACACATCAACTGAGCCACAGACAATGGCCACATTAGCCCAAGTCCTGGCTGCCTTGCTGGCAGGCTGGCTGGCTGGCTGGCTGGCTGGCTGCCTGGCCACTGCCTTTGTCAACGTTGAAATGAAAATGAGCAAAATGCATAATCGAAAAAAATCATTGAAGCGTAAATGCTTTGTAACGGGATACGGGGGTGGGTGGGTGCCACGAGGGGAGGACTCTTACACTCTTACGGCCAGGACAAAACGAAAACGAAAACGAAAACGAATAGGAATACGTAAAACCTGAACCTAAACCCAAACCTAAACCGATCCAAGCCAACATGAAAGCCAAGCCAAGGCAGCCAAACGAAACGAAACAAAACCAAACGAATTGCGAAGGACAGACAAAAGGAGGAGGGTCCTGGCGGGGAATCTCTGGGAAGTTGGGGTCACTGCACAGTTACAACCACCCATCTATCCATCTATCCACCGACCCAGCAACTCCCATCGTTCCCCACATAACATACATATCTGTGTGACATCGACACCACAACTAATGAACGATGAACAGGACGTGGACAACTCTCAGACTGACAAATGACAAAGGAAACGGATCGCAGGACACTGAATACTGGACAGTGGACACTGGACAATGGACACTGGACACTGGTCACATGATACAGAACACACGGCATAGAGATGGAGATGGAGATGTTGAACCAGCGGGCGGAGAATGCGACTGCGTAAGTGACTTAGTACGGCTGACCGACTACAAACCGAATTGAAACCAAAACTTAACCCAATCACGAACTGCGGTCAGTGCGGCGAAACCCCCATGTGGCGACACCCCTGGAGGCAGCTTCCATTCCTACACTTGGAGGAAAAAGATGCAGCTCTTCTGGGCTTTAGTTTTTCGGAATACAATCACATTTCGAGTAACTGCAGTGAAAGGTTAAACACTGTGTAGTTAATACAGAAAGTGGCTCGGTTACTTCACTCCACTGCACTCAGAAGTGTTTGCATTTGTGGCACCAACGGATGAAAATACCATGCGGCAAGTTGAGAATACTTGATAGTGTGGAGTGGTGCATTTTTGGATCGAATCGCGGAATTCCTGAAAAGTTTTGCGGCCGTGGAAAATTTCGTTACGGCGGATAGATCGCATTCCCGCATGATTCATTCCGTGCCCAGCGGGTGACTCACAGGGTGGGTGTTTGCACCCTCTCCTTTCTAAGCCACCCCCACCCCCTGTCCCTGCCTTCTATCAACCAGCAAGCAGCGAACCGACTAATTCAGTTGACTCCAGTGCAGTAGGGGGGAGACAGAGGCGGAGGTGGGTTCTTCCAAAGGAGCAGGGTGGGCAACTAAAGTTGGCCGATAGTTCGCAGTTCCCAGCCGACAATCAAATGGCCAACGACACCCTTCCACCCGTCCACCCTCTTCACCCCTCACCCACCAGCACTGTGTAGGCCCCTGTCCTCTGTAGAAAGGGACTTTGTATGGGTTGTTTGGCAGCGACGATTGCGTGTTCCCTTTGCCAGGGGCGGCGGGCTTAGGGGGGGCACGTCGTTGGCATCGAGTGTTTGGGGAGATGCTCGGGCATATTGCACATTGTGAACCAGCAGTCCTGCAGTCCTGACGTCCTGCAGTCCTGCCGTCCTGCAGTCCTGTAGTCCTGGCGCCCCCTCCATTCTGCTTTGCCTTGCGGATGAGTCAGACATGCGAACGTGAAGTCCTTCAAAAAAAGTGGAAAAGCATAGAAAAAATGCAAGCAGAGGGAGAGAATAGCTTAAAAGGGGGGCAGGACTGATAAGAGGGGTTAGGGTAGCAGAGGAGGGGCAGGAGGGGTACACAACAAGAAATTTCGATTCATTTTAATGTTTGCAGAAAAAACTATAAAAGCATTCTTGCGGCTTTGAAACTTCAAATATGAGATATTATTTGAGAATCTTCATGGCGAGACAGAGAGTACTTTGCTCTTGAGAATGCTTTCGAGTTTGATCCATTGATTCTTCTTGTTTTTCTGCGTGGAGCGGGTTGCCAAGGGGCAAGGTAACTGAGGAGTGGGTGCAAGCGACATAAGCAACCACTGGCGACCACAGAAATGACGACGGCGATGCGTGCCACTGATAACGGTGACGGCTGACTGGAAAGGTGGTTCGAAGGGGTGCAGGGCGGATCAGTGGGCGGGGGGCAGGATGACCAGGTCCCCGGATAGTCCAGTCATAAATTGCAGGCAGCAGCGGGCTGGCATGAATAGCGGCATTAAAGTATCAGGCAAACAAAGGGGGAGGATAGGTGGAGAGGTGGAGAGTGAATGAAAGAAAGAAGGGCAAAACAAATTGCAGGCTGCATACAAAACACGCCATGAAAGGAGTACAGGACTCCATAAAGCAGCTTAACTGCTCCCCTGGCCGGGATTGGGCCAGTAGCCCGGCTCCTGCAACCTGCAACCTGCATCCTTCATCCTTCATCCTTAGAAGCAGGAGCTCTGCCATCTTTCAATTGCTTCGTCTCTACATGTATATGAATTTGATAAGGTTTTTGTTTCACCACAAAATGTTCAGCAGTCCGACGACCATCACCCATCACCCATCGCCCACCTCCCGCCACCCACCAAGACTGTCCGCTGTCCGATGTCCGTTGCCAAGGCAAATTGCTTTGAGTTATTTAAGGGAGAAATACGTAAAGGAAAATTGTTAAGGCCAGGCACGTCGTCGATTGTGGGTCGACCAAGAAGAAAAGCTGGGGCGCTTGGCCCAGCTCCTGCAGAAATTGTTTTGAAATGATTTGAAAAAGCATTTCAGTTTAAGCCAACAATATCCTAGGAACGCATGCGTATGTGTGTCTGTGCTGTGAATTGATGAATGCGCCCGAAGAAAAGGAATCCCACTGATGAATGCAGGACCAGCCTCTGAACAATTTAAGGATTATGCCGAGAGAGCCGAGTGTCGTAGCATTAATTGAGGGATTTCCTTCGGCTGACTGTGAGCCTAAAGCCCCAATCGGTGGATGGACCGACCTATAACCTGGCCGGCCACGACCACTACACTTATTCAATTTCCATGATAATTGCCAGCCGCAACGGGTGCCAAATCAAAATCGAAATCAAAATCAAAATGCCTAACTGCCTTCATTAGTTTCGCTGCCACTTTAGCTACTTTCGCATGCAAATTGCCAGTTTGGAGCCAGCTGCTGCTGAATGTTGGTGTCTCCTTCGGTTTTCTGTTTTCGGTTCTCGGCTTTTGGCTGTGCGGTTGTGTAAGCCGAAAAGCCACGGGAAAAACCCAGCCAGTCAGCCAGTCAGCCAGCCAGCCAGCGAAAAGAAAACGGTTCAATTAAGCCAATATTTGCGCACACTCGCGCCTTGTGTTGGTTAGTTTGGCAAGGGCTGAGCCACCCCCTTAACCCCCTCAGCAACTGCTTTCTCACACCCTCGAGCGGCGCTGCTAAGCGATGGCACATTTTTCGTAGCATACTTTGCGCGGCTGCTTAGCCCACGGCCACAACAGAAAACAGAAACCCGCTCAAGTGTTTGTGTATCTGTCTCTCGCCCTATGCGTGTGTATGTGTGTGCCTCAGTGCGAGTGTGAGTGTGTGTGTGCCTGTGGTTGGGATTTGTATTGCTGTTGCACGCAGAGAAAAACGTACTAAATATTATCAACTGAGTAACATGAATTTGATATTGTACTTAAAGTCAAAATGTTATCAAGTACTGTAAGGGTTCGACGGGGTTTTAATGTCTCTCTGTTCTAGAAGACCTTCGGAAACATAAATCTAAGATAGAATATAATTTGTTTGGCTTTGTTTTGCTATCAAATAAACTTAATCACCAAATTAAATTAGAGAAACTGTAGGACTTGTAATGCGTTAGTAATTTGAAGGACGATCTATTGAAATGACCTTTTGATTGATTCTTTTTAAGAGACCTTCAACCGAACGAAACAACATTTGTGGGCTTGTTTTTGGCTCAGTGTTTCGGTCTCGGCATCGGTTTTGGTTTGTGTTTCTGTTCTGTGTTTCGGGTCCTTCGGCTTACTCCTTCGTTCCATCGAGTTATTGTATCGAATGAGGAGTGGAATGGTGTGGCGTGGTGTGGATATGGTGACTCACCTGAACCTGAGCGGTGCCAATGGCCAGGACGACCCAGAGGCTCCGCAGCAACAAATTACGACGCAGCGCGGCGCACATTGTTCGCACTCCTTTCAGCTGCTTGACTCCTTTTTCCTGTCTCCTGGCTGAGAGTCTCAGAGTGGCTCTGGATTTAGCTGCTTCTGCGGCTCGAATGACTTGCTTCTGATTCCGATTCGAGTTCTGATTCTGGTTAATTGTGTTTGGTTTGTTGGCTTGTTCGTTTAACACTTTGCTGCATAGACAGACGACGGCAGCAGCAACAAGAAATCGAAAACACAAGAAAATTTCATTAATAAGCGATTCGAAACTGTGCCCTCTGTTTGCTATTTTCTGTTTTCTGTTTTCTGATTTCTGATTTCTGCGTTATGAGGTTCGTACTCCGATTTCGTTTGATTTGCGGTGCCCAAGTTAGCTGGCCATGCCTGTTCTTCCGCGAATCGCTTTCGTCCTTTCTCTGTTGCCCCAAAAACTATGCACGGAAAATGTCAACTCGGAAAACTCTGTGCGTGTGTTTCTCTGTTTCTCAGTGTGTTTATGTGTGTGTGTATGTGTGTGTGGTCGTAGTATTTTATTGTGGAACGTAGTAGAAGAGAATCTAAGATGGAGGGGGAAATGTGAAAAGGAAAACCTGAGAGAGCACTCGCTGCTATCTGTCCTAATGTACCCACTCGCTGGTTCTAGGGGTCTTGAGATGGCATTGCCTCGAAACGGAAAATATATTCGGTAAACTATGTTATTTAGGAGCTGAGTCCCTGTCGTACAGCCGCTGTCTTTTCGCCTGGAAAACCTGTCAGCTGCAGCCGTTGGGTCCCATGTCAGTTGTCCGTGTCCTCTGCTCTTGGCAGCTCCTACGCAGGTCCACCCACCCCTCGGTCTCTGCCTCCGCCGATGGAAAAGGTCTCGTAACCACGACGTCGTCACTGGGCTTCTGCGCACTTTCCCAGCAACTTTCTCACTGATTCTGCGCAGTTCCGCTGCTTACTTGCCCCCAGCTAAGTTGGCACCGCAAATTCACTATTTTCATCGGCTTAGTTTCGGTCTATTCAAGATTATATCACTTTGTTTTGGGTGTTTCTTTGGTTTTTGTTTTCTTTTTCTCTTTTTTAGCACTCGCACTTGAACAGCAAAAAAAAGTAATATTTGATTTCTGTGATTAGATGGTCTCTCAGTGTGTGTCTCTCTGGATTCTCTGCTCCTTGACTCCTTGTTTCCCAATGAGTCTCCGCCTGAATCTCTCTCCGAGCCAATTTCGGATTTCAGAGCGGAGAAAGCCGAGAGCTACTGCCAGCAGCCCCAGGCCTTCTCCCACTGCGGTGGTGGCGAATCGGTACAGAGCGGGGTGGCTCGGGGGAAGCCTATCTAGCTCTGAATCTCTGGAGCTGTGGCTATGGGCTGTACCTGGCGCTGCGAACGCTCACAAACGACTGCGAGTGGTGCTGGCTGCTCGGCGGACTCGTTGCCTCCAATCGAATGTCCTGCGAGTCGATTTCCGAAAGTCCAATAGTGCGAAAGTCGAGCTCGGGCGCAGAGCGCGTGCCCGGGATCGATATTAAGGGCGAAACAACCAACTGGCTTCCCGCGGGGGTGGAACTGCTTGGCTGGTCCGTGCTGCGTGGTCTGTAGTCTGTGGCCTGTGGAATGTGCCAGCCGAAAAAAGGCAGCAGCAGGTGCTCAGAACGAAGTCCGAACACAGAGAGCCAGTCGCAGAACCGGTTCCGCCAGCGAACCAAAGGAACTCCCGCCCACTTCCTGCGGTATTGTTATTAGTTTTCGAAACTTCGCGCTTGGCGGGAATTTAAAGAGAACTCGGCTCAAAGGGTGACTTGCTGCACTTGCAAGGATTCAAAACTCGAAATTCAGATTGCGACCTCAGAATTCAATTTCCATCATTTCTAAGCGGTTTTAAACTGCTTTAAGCTTTTGGCGTTAACCATTACGACTAATTATATATTCCTAATAGTTGTATATATTTAAAAGTATGATCAATTGAGATAAGCTAATGAATTCCTTGGTTTATATAAAACTTGTTTACATTTGAAACTTTTTACAGCATACTTTTCAGAGGTGGATAAAATATGCTTGCGCATCTCCTGACTGATAGATGGCGTGCTGCAGCCAAGTTTCAACCCGCTGTAAAACAGGGCTACGTTGTCTATCCCAGTTTCGATCCAACTGCCACCTCTTACGCCCAGATTAACCCGACAGAGTGGCAACTCTGCTGTCGCACAGCTGTTCACTACACCGGCTGTAAATAAATCTTGGAGTTTCCACTGCCATATATGTTTACTTACGACGCCTCCCACTAACTGGGCTTAATGGGAATCAACGAATAAGAACGGTGTTTAGTGCAGAACAACAAGTTACACAGCCAAACCACCGTGTATTCCACAGGCTGCGGAAATTCATTAGAGGGGGCGGTTCCCCGCGATCTACGGAGTACGTGGCAATGAATCTGAGGCCGTGCTCGAACTGAAACCAATTCTAGGCCCGTAACCAAAAAGAACCCATTCCAATACCAATACCTACCCGCCCACCAAGATGACGGCCACGTTGCGTTACCGCGGAGACAAAAGCAACCTCTTGGAGTTCGCCAAAAACCTGGACGCGTTCAAAAAAGTACCAGAGAAGTACACAGAGACAACGGAAATCGGAGGGACACGTAAGCCTATCAGAACACAAGGTATTCCCATCATAATAACCACTTTATCCTCATTACAGTATCTCTACTGAGCCGCCTGTTGATCGTCTACCTGGTCTACACGGAGCTGCATTACTACTGGCATGAAACGGACATCGTTTACCAGTTCCAGCCGGACATAGCATTGGACGAGCAGGTGCAGATGCACGTGGACATCACCGTGGCCATGCCCTGCGCCTCGCTGTCCGGCGTGGATCTTATGGATGAGACGCAGCAGGATGTGTTCGCCTACGGGACGTTGCAGCGCGAAGGAGTCTGGTGGGAAATGTCCGAGCATGACCGGCTCCAGTTCCATGCCATTCAGATCCAAAACCACTATCTGCGCGAGCAGTATCACTCGGTGGCCGATGTGTTGTTCAAGGACATCATGCGGGATCCTCATCCGGTGCGTGAGAGTCCTTCACAGATGCCAGCTGCCCCGCCGCCAGGAGCCCTTCCCGCGGGCCTCGACCTCATGCTGTCCCATGGCCAGCCAAATGCCCAGCCTGACACCAAGTTCGATGCGTGTCGACTGCACGGAACTCTGGGCATCAATAAGGTAGCCGGTGTACTCCATCTCGTGGGCGGAGCTCAACCCGTGGTGGGACTCTTTGAGGACCACTGGATGATCGAACTGCGGCGCATGCCTGCGAACTTTACGCATCGCATTAACCGCCTCAGTTTCGGGCAGTACTCGAGGAGGATTGTTCAGCCGCTGGAGGGCGACGAGACCGTGATTCACGAGGAGGCCACCACGGTTCAATATTTCCTGAAAGTTGTGCCCACGGAGATCCATCAGACTTTCAGCACCATCAACACGTTTCAGTACTCCGTCACAGAGAACGTGAGGAAACTAGGTGAGACACGAGGTGTTCGTTTGAATTACCTGCACATGATCTACCCAAACATCAGCTTGATTTATAATTTAATATGACGCAACGCCTAATCAATCCCTTTTTTTCACAGATTCCGAGCGAAATTCGTATGGCTCTCCTGGCATTTACTTCAAGTACGACTGGTCGGCTCTTAAAATTGTGGTGGACAACGATCGCGATCACCTGATCACCTTCGCCATCCGGCTGTGCTCGATTATATCCGGAATCATTGTCATTTCGGGGGCGATCAATTCCCTGCTCACAGGCATCCAACGTCGCCTCTTACGGACACTTGCTCCGGAGTTGTACCAACGGCTCAACAATGCTAAGACTGTTCCATCGGCTGCTGCTCCCCCATCGTCTGTTTCCGCGCAAACGACTTTAACACCACCCGTAAACGAGCTACTGAGCACAGCCAATCTGATGGCCAGCGTAGACATCTCGGCCTATCTGCCTACGGCACCACAAAAGCTCAAAGCCGACCTTTAACCGGCATCTTTGGCAACATCCGCTAGCGAATCTCTGTCTGCAAACGCTAACCGACGCTTCTCGTCTCTCTAAACTAATATTTTTATTCCATTAAGATACAAAAAAATGAAGCACACACAAATATGGCGAGAATGTTGTACATAAATATTGATAAGTTCAAGCTGGTGTAGTGCTCTTTAATCGCGGCCCAGGATGCCGGTGTCGATGTTACTCCAGTTCCCAGAACGCCGGTAGCCAAACATGCTCTTCAGGATCTCCAGGCCGGACTCTACGGTGGTGCGCACGTCACGCTCGCTGCCCAGCTTTGGATTGATCTCCACTAGGTCGACGCCCTGCACCCGCTTAGTGTCCCTCAGTGCCTCCACGATGCTGATGCCCTCGCGTAGAGTTAGGCCGCCACGCACGGCAGTTCCCGTGCTGGGCGCCACATTACTATCCAGGGCGTCGATGTCGAAGCTTACGTGAATCTTGTTCTGTGGATTCAGGGCGTCCAGTGTCATTTCGATGATCTTTGGCACCCCCACCCGGTCGATGGTCTGTTGAAGGAGCGGATAATAAGAGGGAGCCAGCAAACAGCGTATGTTGTATGAATTAATTAATGATTCCCTAGTCCTTAATCCCCTCCTGGTTGAATCCTTAAGCATCGAAGTAACAGCCTTCTCTACCTAACCGTTGTTCTAAGCATCAGAAAACAAATCTAAGTCCTTTGAGCTATAATCACTTCAATATTCTTGTATCAATGGATGATGAGATATGCTAAATTGCTAGCTCGAACTGCAAGAAGTCCTCAGACTCTGGTCTGTAGATAGAGTTTTGAATCATATATCATTCCCTTTATTGATGGGAATGCCCTTAAAAGACAGATAATCCAGGTCAAAGTCAAAGGTATCTCCCGACGATGCATTGAACTATATTTCTTGTAAGTAATCTGAAACAGAAGCTAGCGCTTGGCTTGGCCTGTGAAATACCCTTCGTTATCGCGACTGTACATTATCTACGATCAGGGGACCCCGCCCGATGCACTTCCCCTAGCAATTTTCGCATATCTATTGGAAAATATTCCAACATCGATCGAACTAATGAGCGATAATAAATTTGCAGCTTTGGCTGGGCCGGAAATTCACAGCAAAATCGGGTCCGAGGGCATTAAACCATTTTTCAACAGACGTCGAATTTGCACGAGCCATAAATAATTGGCAACGAGCAGCTCCTGACACTGCGGATGTGGCCAGGCACGTAATTTTCGTGTGAGTCACCACCACCGGTTTTTGTTTCTCGTTTTCGGGGCTCGGGATCGCATCGATCGGAAGTCCTGTAACAGGGGGTGGCAAAAGTGGGATGGGGCAGTAGCAGTAGGGTCTGCGACAACCCCTATAAATGCCAAGCTTACAACGAAGGACGCAGGACGAAGGACCTATGTGTAATGCCCTCGGCAGTCACGCACGATCGTCATCCGATCCTGCCCTATAAACACAGCGTAAGGGGGAGAAACCGGAATTTTACAATTTTTACAACTGCCAGCGAGACAGAAAAGGATCGTTTTGGGCAGAGCTGAGAAACCAAACTGGAATGCAGTGAAATGAAATGCAATTCGGAAAAAAGGACGATCAAGGCTTTCTACCTAGGTGCGGATGCCTTTCTCTAGTTTCTACACAGCGAAAAATTCACCTACTTATCTAATTATTTATATTCTTAATTTCATTTTTTTTAATGTACTGCTATATCATATATATATTTCCTCTATACCTAACATTCTTAATTCGTATGCGATATGCATGATAAATGGTTTTATTTTCAGTGTACTTACATCCATCGCATAGTAGCGTATCCCGACTTTGTTCAGTATGAATGCCTCGTAGGGGTCAATGTCCCGCAGTCCGATGTAAACCAACTGATCCTTGGGCAAACTGAAATGACAACACAGAGAGATCAGACAGACGAAACAGTACGTGGCAAGGTATAAGTATGAGGGTTAGGGACTAGAATGGGGCCTTTCCTTTACGGAAAGACGGATAGTTCAGAGGAGTGGGTGGGCCGCAAACAGCTGACGTGTAAACAAATAGTCGTGGGTTTCAGTCGAAGGATCACTGAACTGAAAAAGTAGTAGGAGAAAGAGGAGAAGCCTTAAAGTGCGGGTTGCCATGCTTAAAGTATGGTGCAAGGGTCATTTAGGGAACATAAATAATCAATAAACTATCAAATTCAATGGAACTTTTGCTGTTGTTTTATTATTCCTAAGGTTTATGGTAAGTATTTCAATAGATTTCAAGACTTTGATCACAAACTACAAATTTTTCAGTGTTTTAGCGGTAATAACTGAGTTTAAATTGAATATTTTTATAAAAAAAAACACAAATTTTATTTCGAAGATATCCGAATATTGCATATATTTAGGCGCCGCGATACCTAAAATCTTAAGTTTCTGGTAAAATTCTGGATTTCAGATACCAGGCGAACAGAAACAACAGCAAGCAAATTCTCAAAAATAAGCTAGTAGGCAATACACTTGCTACGTATTTATGATCTCCTGGTATTTTTCACAAAATCGCCCGAATTCGTTAAAATGTGGCACAAATCTGGTTGAAATCGGTGCATTTTTGGAGTTCAGCTACCAGGCGAACAGAAATCACAGCAAGCAAAATCTATTTACTTTGAAAAAGCACATGTAACTGTACTTTTTGTAATGGCTGCCATTTGCAGCTGCCATTTTGAAACCCAACCAAAACAAAACACAAGCAAGAGATGGGATACCACGTTGTTTTCTTTGTCGTGTCACGACTTTAGCACGACAGGCACGAAATAATATTGAAATCCCATGTAATTTATTTGGTCGTGTCGAAAAACAGTACTCACGTGGCCGTCCCTAAGTGGAGCTCATAAATTTCAAGATGGCTGCCATTGCAGACCAAAACATAAACAAGAGATGGGCAACCACGTTGATTTTTGTGTCGTCTCACGAGCTTAGCACGATAATCACGAAATAATATTAAGGTCCCATGTAATTTCTTCGGTCGTGTCGAAAAACAGTGCTCACGTGGCCATCCCTACGTGGAGCTCATAAATTTAGCGATTTCCACCTACTACTCGATTCTGTTCGCCTGGTATTTTAAAGGCATCAGCTAGCCAAAATGCGTTGAAATTTTGATCAGAAAATAATTTTTCTCAGTCAAATCGGTAAGTTTGGGAGTTCAGATACCAGGCGAACAGAAACCGCAGCAAGCAGCTACTGTTTTATGTGAGCTTTGTTTTTTTCAAGATGGCTGCCTTTTCAAGATGGTTGCCAATGCAGACCAAAACGTAAACAAGAGATGAGCAACCACGTTGTTTTCTGTGTCGTGTCACGAATTTAGCACGATAATCACGAAATAATATTAAGGTCCCATGTCGTGTCGAAAAACAGTGCTCACGTGGCCATCCCTAAGTGGAGCTCATAAATTTCAAGATGGCTGCCATGCAGACCAAAACATAAACAAGAGATGGGCCACCACGTTGATTTTTGTGTCGTGTCACGAGCCTAGCACGATAATCACGAAATAATATTAAGGTCCCATGTAATTTCTTCGGTCGTGTCGAAAAACAGTGCTCACGTGGCCATCCCTACGTGGAGCTCATAAACTTAGCGATATCCACCTACTACTCGATTCTGTTCGCCTGGTATTTTAAAGGCATCAGCTAGCCAAAATGCGTTAAAACTTTGATCAGAAAATAATTTTTCTCAGTCAAATCGGTAAGTTTGGGAGTTCAGATACCAGGCGAACAGAAACCGCAGCAAGCAGCTACTGTTTTATGTGAGCTTGTGTTTTTTTTCAAGATGGCTGCCTTTTCAAGATGGTTGCCATTGCAAACCAAAACGTAAACAAAAGATGAGCAACCTCGTTGTTTTCTGTGTCGTGTCACGAGTTTAGCACGATAATCACGAAATAATGTTATAATCCCATATAATTTCTTCGGTCGTGTCAAAAAACTGTGCTCACGTGGCCATCCCTACGTGGAGCTCATAAATTTAGCGATTTCCACCTACTACTCGATTCTGTTCGCCTGGTATTTTAAAGGCATCAGCTAGCCAAAATGCGTTAAAACTTTGATCAGAAAATAATTTTTCTCAGTCAAATCGGTAAGTTTGGGAGTTCAGATACCAGGCGAACAGAAACCGCAGCAAGCAGCTACTGTTTTATGTGAGCTTTGTTTATTTTCAAGATGGCTGCCTTTTCAAGATGGTTGCCATTGCAGACCAAAACATAAACAAGAGATGGGCAACCTCGTTGTTTTCTGTGTAGTGTCACGACTCTAGCACGAGAGGCACGAAATAATATTTAAGTCCCTTGTAATTTATTCGGTCGTGTCGAAAAACAGTACTTACGTGGCCGTCCCTAAGTGGAGCTCATAAATTTCAAGATGGCTGCCATTGCAGACCAAAACATAAACAAGAGATGAGCAACCACGTTGTTTTCACTGTCGTATCACGACTTTGGCACGACAGGCACGAAATAATAATAAAGTCCCAAATACTTCAATAAGCCGTGCCGAAAAGCAGAAATCATGGGGCCATCTCTAAGTTTGGTTTATAAACTGGGAGCAATTCGCCTGCTACTGATTTATGAGCTTCTTGTTTTCATAAAATCGGCCAAATTCGCTCAAATGTGGCACAAATCTGGTTGAAATCGATGCAGTTTTGGAGTTCAGCTACCAGGCGAACAGAAATTACAGCAAGTGGAATCTTAGCTATTTATAAATCGCTATACACCTGCTGCCGATTATGATCTCCTGGTTTTATGAGTAAAATCGTCCAAATTCGTTCAAATTTTCCAGGAAAATCAGCTTTTCCCATTAATTTTTGTGGGTGTTTGGATTTCTGCTTCCAGGCGATCCGAAATCACAGCAAGTAAAAGCTGTTTGTTTCGAGAAGGCCCAAATAATTGTACTTTTTTTGTGATGCTGCCGTTACCAGAATTCCAGCCGCCACCTTCGTTTCGCCAACCAAAAGCTTGAAAATAAACACAAGCTAGAGATGGGCATCCCGTTGTTTACTGTGTCGTATCTCGATATTGGCATGATAAGTCCTAAGCACCGGGAACTAAACTTATCAGCTGTTCAATTTGAAAGCTTCTGTTCGCCTGTTAATTCCTGAATTCTGGCAATGTAGCACAGAACCTTATCGAAATGACATCACGTTTGACCAATATCTGTAGTCTGTTTTCGGGATTGACCCAAAATTAGAGAGAGATATATAACATATATATATAACATAGTTATAGTGAAAATAATTATTTAATTTTTAAGCCGAAAAGCAACAACTCGCCAAAAGAACATCGATACCCTACTGGAAGGAGCTGGACCGGACAACTGCAGCGACTTTTCCATATGGAAGCTTACGAGAGGAGTTAAAAGGCAGCCGATTGTCCAATCCCCTATACAAAGTCATAGTAGACACTGGCTTAAAAGCGATTCCGACAAAGCAAACGCTTTTGCTGAACATTTGTCTGATACCTTCACCCCTTTTGATCTCTCAGACGCCTCGCACCGCGACGAAGTTGCAAACTTTGTGAGAGCCTCTATCCAGCCAGCGCGCCCTATTAGGCACATTACGCCGCAAGAAGTCACGCTGCAATTAAAGGCGCTCAACCTAAAAAAGACTCCTGGACCCGATGGCATCGACAATCGAGCGGCAAAGGCTCTTCCACCCAAAGGAGTGCTTGCAGTGGTAAAATTTTCAACGCCATGCTGAGCCTAGGTCATTTTCCGAGGCAGTGGAAGCAAGCCAGGATCATCATGATCCCTAAGCCAAACAAGCCTCCGACTCAAATTGATTCCTACCGTCCAATCAGTTTATTGTCTACACTATCGAAAGTGTTCGAGCGGTGTTTACTCAGTCGTCTTTTAGAACTACCTCAAGTAGAAGGCCATATACCCCAACATCAGTTTGGCTTTAGAAAATCTCATGGCTGTCCAGAACAAGTCCATCGCCTGGTCAATCACATCACCCATGGACTCGAGCACAAACTGCACACTGTAGGCGTCTTCCTGGATGTCAAACAAGCCTTTGACAAGGTGTGGCATGAGGGCCTCCTGTATAAAATCAAGGAACTTCTCCCTGCTCCCTACTTCGTCATCCTGAGGTCCTTTCTTGCCGATCGAACCTTTGTAGTAGCAGTAAGGGACGCAAGATCCAGCTTGGCTCACATCCACGCAGGAGTGCCCCAAGGAAGTGTGCTTGGTCCATTTCTTTACACCATGTACACAAGTGACATGCCAGTTCCGTCGCCCACTACAGACGCCCGTATGCTTTTGGCTACATATGCTGACGACACGGCGTTGCTTGCGTCCCACACATCTCAGCTGACGGCTTCGGCTGCAGTTCAGGACTGGCTGCGTGCGATGGAGCGCTGGACCAAGCAATGGAATATAGCCATAAACTGCAGCAAGTCGGCAAGCGTAACATTTACACTAAGGCTTACGATCGACATCGTCTTAAATTTTAACGGTGACACCATCCGGAACGCCACATCGCAGTGCTACTTGGGTGTACACCTAGACCAGCGGCTCATATGGAACACCCACATCACGGCAATCAGAGCTAAGTGCGACCGCAAACTTAAGAAGCTCGATTGGCTCCTGAGCGCGAAAAGTCTCCAGCTTTCGACAAAGGTTCTGATAATAAATGCAATTCTCACGCCAACCTGGACGTATGCGATACAAGTTTGGGGCACCGCGTCTAAGCACCAGCTAAACAGGCTGAGGGTAGTTCAGGCACGAGCTGCTAGACGGGCTTCCGGGCTTCCGTGGTACGTAACCAACCAGGCCATCCAGAACGACTTACGGCTTGTTCCCGTGGGCGATCTCTTAAACCAACACAGCAGCCGATACTCGGACAGGCTAATAGGTCACCCAAATCCTCTGGCTAGCAGGCTTGCCGACCCGCAATCTACTAGAAGACTTAGTAGATTCCACCCCAGCGACTTGCCATCCCGCTTAATTTCTTAAACTTGTAATATTTTGTAAATAGTTTTATTTTAGTTTTGTAAATATTTGTACATATACTCTAGGTACACCCATAGTACCATAACTAATTTCCTGATAAACGCCCGGTTATGTTCAAATGCCTGAACGATTCCGGCGAAATAAAAATGTAAATATGTAAAAAAAAAAAAAAAAAAAAAAAAAAAAATTAAGCCGAAAAGAGGAGACTATTGATAAAAATTGCAATATTTTTCTTTCTACATTCTGACGATTATTGGATTTGTTATAGGAAAAACTCTTGTCATTTTGGGGGCAAAATCAGGACTATGCGTTCGACATAAAATTATCATAGTTTTTATCGGGGTTATACCTATAACTTGGTCAAAACAATTCGCAGAACTGAAAGAACGCCTGTTTTGTGAAGCTAACAACCACAACAAACTTTCCTCATGCTTCGTTTGATGATTTTGGCAATTTTAATTTTTGACAATTTTTTGCATTTTCTGTAAGGGGTAACATCATCAAAATTTTCGGAAAACGGCTAAATTTTGACTTTTTAAGGTGGGGATACAGTTCGATTGGAATTTTAATTACGAGTTCAACGCTATATGACATTAATCGTTCCGACAAATATTGGCTTTGTAATGAGAATAATTCGGATTATTATGGCACAAAAATGAGGATTATAAGTGTTGATCGAAAGTAGCAATATTTTTTATCGGTATTATACCTACAATTTAGTCAAATGAAGACTCAGAGCTAAAATAAAGACAGTTTTGTGAAGCTTACGACCCCAACAAACTTTCCTTATCATTGGTTTAGCGATTTTGTGAGTTTGAATTTTTAACACATTTTTGCATTTTCTGTAAGGAGTAACATCATTAAAATTTGCGAAAAATTGAAAGTTGTTTACGTTTCAAGGTGGGGATACAGTTTTGTTGGAAATCAAATTACGAGCTCAACGAGGTATTGCATTCTATGTTTGGACCATTATTGCCTTAGTTATGAGGAGAATACTACCAATATTCGGGGGAAATGGGGAGAAGCCAAATATCACACTTTCGATAAGGGGTAACATCATCAAAATTTTCGGAAAACGGCTAAATTTTGACTTTTTAAGGTGGGGACACAGTTCGATTGGAATTTTAATTACGAATTCAACGCTATAACACATTCTATATTCCTACAAATATTGGCTTTGTTATGAGAATAATTCTTTAGGCAATAATCAGGATTGCGAGTTTCGACGGATAATGATACTATTTGGTAACATCACCAAAATTTACGAAAAATGGGAACATTTTTACGTTTCAAGGTGGGGATGCAGTTTTGATCGAAATCAAATTACGAGCGCAGCGATGTATTACATTCCAGATTTGGACCACTTTTGGCTCTTTTATGGGCTAAACAATATTTGTTGGGCAAAATTGAGGATGGCTCTAATTTCGCCTTTCTATTATTATATAGAATCGTTTCTAATTTTTGAGTTTCCTTTGCCAAAGTCAAATGTTCTACATTCCCCTTCCCCATCATCGATCACCCACTGCCGTTTGCCATTCGTGATCCTGATTAGTAGGCCAGGTGGCGAGTCCTTGGCTCGACCACGATCGCAACCCCAAGGACTGCAGCCGAATCGGATTCAGAACGAGAGCAGCCTGCACCGCGACAAAGGTGAAAATGTCTGAAAAGGAAAAACGGCAACAAAAACACAACACAAACGGATAACAATGCCGCCGACGGCAAAAAGGGAGAGGGGAAACACATGCCACGATTCAGTGCCGAATGTCCTGGTATTCCCCATCCCCTCCATATGTCCATACGTCTATATGTCTATGTGCGTGCACCCCTCTCTTCGGTTTTCTATTCCTGCTACGATCGTGCATTGCTCTTGGACTTTGAACCCGGTTTCTTATGGTAATTTTTATGATTATTACTATTAGTTTCGGGGGAAAGTGCATCTGTCGCCGGCTGCAGATCGGATCGGCCAGGATCCTTCCTGCCCAATCCGGAGCCGTAGCCGGATCCGGCTCGAGATCGTGGATATTTGTGCAGTGAGACGTGCAAAGTTAAAAGCGCCCTAAGGATCATTATGTAAATATACGAAAGAGAAAGGCTCAGAAAGGGGGTGGCTGTAGCCTAATAAATACACAGAACGAAATCAAAATAGCTGGCCTTGGGAGATCTGAAACTTAAACCATTGTAGCAGCTAGAGTAACTAACAAATAGTTGATCCCCAAAGGGGGCTCTGCAAATGGGGGTTCCCGAAACTCAAGATTTGTTTTTCGAGTGTACTAACTATTTCGAGTCCTTTTTTTGTTACCGCTATTCAATTTGGTTTGGTGTTTATGTAACGCTAAGGGTGGCAACGGCTTTTTCAGAGTCCCTCCCCTTCTGCCCGGAAAAAAAGAGCAGACCATCATCCCATCCCATTGAGTTTTACCAGCATTGTTGTAATCTTGTGTTGGGCCTGCTTTTTTAATCCTGCTTTGTTGTAACGCCGGGCGGTTGTTGTTTTTGTTTTGTATCTGCCGTGGCTAAAACGGATTTGCCCACCCAACCCTTTCGCTTTTGAGTCCCCCCTTGTGCTTACCCTGTTTCCGAATATTAGGAAAAAGCTTGTGTTGCCTACTTTTTGGGGTAGAAGAAAGCGACCAGGAAGGACGTGGCCGCCAACTTTCACTATCTGCATGCGTCAGCGAAACAAAAGCTGATGTAATGTTAATGGTATTGTGAGTGATCCCATGATTAATCCGATAAGAACCGAATCTTATCTGGCGTGTGTTCCCAAATGTTCGAATTAGTTAAAGCGCCACAAGTAAAACATGATTTAGTAGCACCCATTAACTATATGGCCCTGAAAAGAAGAAATATAATGGATATTTATCATTTAAAAACAAATTTAAAGCAAACTTATTATCCTCTTCTTTCAGTTTAACAGCTTGAAAAAACATGGCAAGGGCGGACATATGCAGATTTACATACATACATGTATGTATATGCTAACCAAACACTTGCGACGCCGATCTGTCTGAATCTGAATCCGCATATCCGCATACGAGTACAGCAGTGGCACCACCCTGCCACATATCCGTTGCCACTAGCACCACACCACCATTCGCAAAGGACGACAAAACCCACCCCCAGCTGAAAGTTGCGTTACAATTCCCGATGAGCAGTACACCCTCGATATTGTGACCCAAGGATCTACTGTATTGGGCTTTAAACATAATTTTTAAGAATACATCAAATGAAACATAATAAAAGGACTTAAAAGAAATTTCAATAACATTGTTATCTATAGCTCGAGTCCACTGTACCTCCTTTCGCGAGTCTAAGACTTCGTCGCTTGTTTTGTAAATTGGAACAGAGCGTGCGACTGGAACAGGGTAAAAAATCAGCACATGGAACAGGAAGTTACAAGGGTTGGGGAGTCAGAGGGTGGCTATATGCGATATCAGGCATAGGGTATATAGTATACTGTGTGGCGTGACGAGTGCCGAACACCGAATGCCGAATACAAGCGCAATTAAGCACACGCACGCAACAAAAACGAGGGGAAACATTGAAAAACGACAGGACTGCAGCGTGTTGAAATTGAACCGGCTCTTCGAAATGGGTCCTGGATCCTTGGCTCTTGTTTTTCGGTTTTATTTCTCTGGGTAGGGGGTGTACGAGGCATGCTGCATGCGAAAACCACCCCAAAGGCTAGCGTTGGTGGTTGCTAGTGCAAAAAAAAATATTAAAGGAAACGGAACCATAAACCTAAAACAGCCCTTAGAACGCGGCTATTTGGCAAGGATAATGGTCGCGTGTATCGTAAATCGGTTGACGACCTCGTTCGTAACAGCCAATATCAATGATTTCCAATAGGACCTACTATACTTAAAACCCCTAAAAATGTGGTGAGCTTTGAATTAACATAAAATAAAGCAATGGTCTGTGGGCTTTTGTACGAATACCAGTCCTAACTATAGATAAATTTTAATATTAATTTTAACACAAAATGAACTAAAAGAACGCGTGTATTCAAACATTGCCAAACGCTGGAATTGAAAGCGGCAGCTCAGCCGCTCTTTTTCTCTCCCTCGTTTTTCTCTTCCTCTCAGAGAGTAATCGCCATTTTGGTTCTCAGTTTAAGTAACAGTTACACTAGCATTTAAATGCACCAAATGCACTTTTTACTTCACTCTAAACTAAATTTGATGCCTTATTTTACTAACCAAATGTATTATAATCTGTGGGATAAAAAAATCCTTCATGATCGATTCATTTTTATGAACAAAATTTCGCCTCTGTGAATACCGCTTACAACAACTGAGAGCGCAGGCAATTTACAGGGCTGTAGCAAAGGGGTTACCCTTTAAAAAAAAATCCAAGTTTTGCTCGATCTTTTTATAAATCTATTGATTTGTTTACCCAATATTAATTTTAAGTTTTTGATTTAAAAATTTTTTGTATTTTAAAATATTATAATATTTATAATCCTCTGTCTTTTACGGAATCCCCTGTTTGCAAGAAAACGCTGTCGCCCACGTCTGTGTTGCCGCTCTCTTTCGTTCTCTACTTTCCATGTTCGCTTCGAACACAACACGTACTGCAACCCTGTATGAGAGGCAACTACAACAATATGTGTATGAGAGGTTGCTCTGTGTGGAAATGGAAACCGAAACCATCAATTCCTCAATTTCGCATTCATTATTTCATTTCCACGCCAACCATCGTGCGCCGCAGTTCGAACGCTCCTGCCTCAGTGAAAAGAAAAGCCAGGAAAATCGAAAAACAAAAAGCAAATCTCGTGCCTGGTGTGCTCTTTCTGTAATTGATTTTTTTTTCGAAAGTAGTGCGAAACCTTACCGTTGAGTTGACTAAACAAACTACAACTGGAAGCTACTACAGCTATTGGCCGAATCTCATCTTAAACCGAACGAAATGTAAGAAAATCCCTCGGATATCCGGAGTCTTGTGCAACCTAATAAACATCACAATAACAATAACAAACAATCTCTACGATATTGTACCATTAATTTTTTTGCCAAATGATCGCGTCGCGCTGCATAATTGTGCAATTATACACACATATGTACATACATATAATATGAGTGGCTACACATATGTATCTATTTTTTTGCTAGTGGGTGTGTGTGTGGTGTGGATGTTTTATACATTCAAACAAATATTAATAGGCAAAACAACAATATGCAATTTGGTGGAGAAAGACAAAGAGAAAGAGAGGGGCACAGCAATGCCAAAAAAAAAGCAAAACCAAAAGAAGAGAGCGGAGGAGAGATGGGCGGCTGTTAACCAGAGTGAGAGAGGGGGCGTCTAGTCCGAGGATAGTAGTTGCGTTAAAATCTACTGCTAATGCGAGACGAGACGCCTCTGTATGTGCTGTGTATCTGTAAATGCTTGCTTCTCAAATTCAAATCTGTGAGTGTGCGGGAGAGGAGAGCAGTGTGTGTGTCTGCTAGAGCAAGAGAGAGTTTCAAAAAGGGCGCAGCTAGCATATCGATTTTATGTGCAAGGAGCATTGTACGCAACAACAACAAAAATAATTGCAGGAACAAGAACAGTTACCATTTGAAGCATTTAATTTGTGGGGAGAGGAAAAGGAGAGATTGAAAGAGCGGCAATTTGTGAGTGGCAGAGTTTTTTTTTGCAGTAAACAAAACGCCGGTTGCCATAAAAAGCAAATGCAAACAAACACGCTGAGACACCAAACAAAAGCAATATGTGTACATAGTAGTAGTAGCAACAGAGTTGTTAGTGTAAACTTGAAGGTAGATGAGTCCGATCCGATCCATAAAACGCTTTTCTTTAACCAAAACATCCAAAAAGAAGGAAAGCAACGTGTTCTAAGTTCCAACAACAACAAATAACTTATAGATACTAAGTGCACGTGTATGTGTGAGAGAGAACGCGATTCGTTTAACAAAAAATGAAATACATGCATACGCACTCACATACGCATGTATGTATGGGTATAAAAACAATAGCAGCCATACATTGTATCTACGCCCCTCCGCCCACAATCCCATCCTCCCCTTAACCCTCTGGCGACCATCAACAACAAAAATTATACAAATCAATGCACTGAAAAGCGAGAGATAATGTTATAATGAGCATTTGTGTATTTCAAAATAACGCAAAAATAGCCAGTCTCACACAATAGAATTGTATAACGAACAACAAATTGCTCACTTGCTAGCACATATTTATATGTACACAGAAATATTTTAGTGTGCCTTTTTTTGCCAGTGAAATATGAAATGAATGATGTGATTGGGAGGGAAAATCGATAAAATCGATTTGCGATAACAGAAACGCGAGCACATACATACACAGGCGCACAAACTAGAACACAGAACACCCCCTAACTAAACCAAAAAACTAAGACTAAAACCACAAACACCTAAAACACTGTATTCACCGCTTTATTTATTTGTTTTGTTTTATATTATTTTTGTTTTTGCCCACATCAGACGGCAGCCACGACGACGCCAGCGTTTATTTATTAACAAAAACGATTACAAAAACATTACAACAAACACCAAAGTCCTGGACCACCGGAGAGTGTGTGAAAGTGAAAGAGAGTGAGAGAGAGAGTGCAAGGAGGAGCGCCGTAAGTGCGCGCGCGCAAGGATTTCAGATTCCGCAAAGAACTTAGCAACTTAATTCACTTTGCTTACCACCCAAACAGCAACAGCCACCAATTACCTCCCCAAAATAAGAAAACACACTCTCGCTCTCTAAACCAAAAAACAAGTGAGTATTGGTAAACAACGGGCTTATAGCCGAACGGAGAGCATGCTAACGGTATTGTAGATCACAGGACGCAAAGGATAGACAGAGAAAGAGCCTCTCAAAGGGTGCGGGGTTAGCGTGTTACAGTTTTACTCTGATAACTTAAACATTTCTAAACCAAACTAATTTTATCCGAATAAGAGCCAGTTGTTATATTCAGATAGAAAAACGAGTTATCGAAGTCCGTCTGTAGTTGCTAAGGTGATAGTTGAATGAGCGAGACCACTGCCTGTTCCCCTGCCATAAGTGGGCGGAAATGGGTGGTATGGGGATGACAATGTGTGCGCGCGTGACCTTTTGACTCTTTAGCGGGCAGTACAAAAAGTGGTGCGAATCTGTATGTCGTGGGGAGTTGAACTTGTTTTTTATACAAAAATCAAAATTATTTACCCTGTTTTTCTTATAAATTAGTCGTCCATTCATTAAAAATTGCTTTAAGTTCAACCATTTAACACGGCAACCACTTGATCACTTAACTTTAAATAGTTTGCTATGAAGTCCCTGTAAGTTAACCTATCCTATCCGATATCAGTTTCAACTTCGGAAGGTTTTTTAATGAGAAACGAAAGTGAATTATATATAGTTCCATATCCATATGCATATACCGCGCGCTAACTATTATTTACTGTAGTGGTCATATGTAAAACCATCAAAATGATGCCATTTCCTCGGCGATCGCTTTTGAATAATCCTGTGTCTCTGTCGCACCTATGTGGTTCATTGAACCGAAACATCCGCTAGTTTTAGTCCAAGCAACCACACACTCTCTCTCTCTCTAGGCGCCCCTCTGTCACAGCCTCTGCTTTTACTGCCCTTACAGCGTTACCATGTACATATGTATATATAAAAGCAAGACCCGGCATTGGGGGTGGCAGTGCCGTGTGTTTAACCCTTAAGCGGTGGCAAGTCTTTTCATCTACGTTGAAGCCACCGCTCTGCGATTCGTTTTCGCAAAAGAAAATATTACAAATTGTTCGACTAAGGGTGGCTCGCCTGTCTATTGCTCATTTTTTGTGCTTTTTCGAAGGGGTGCGAGTTGATTTCTCGCATGTCCTGGTCCCTAACCCCGTCTGTCTGTGGCATTACATAACTGGGCGGGGTAAACCGAAATATACACACACACACATTCAAAGCGCTGTAACAGTTTCCCGAGGAGCAAACGGTTAGTGGAAAAGAGAGTGAGAGAGGGGGCGAGAGAGTAAGAGCGGCTGGAGCGCAGAGCCTGACCAGAAAGTCCTGCGCTAGCCTCAGAAGCATCCTGTGCCTGTGACGCAGCGGATGTGGTCTCGCTTTTCACTCTGTAACCAATAACTACATTCATTCGACACCAGTGAACGGTTTATTTTAAAAATCGAATAGCAAACCGAAAGCAACCACAAGCACGAAAATCACTCGCAGAGAAATAACAAAAATTCAGTGAAGTTCAGTTCTTCCAGTGACGAAGGTGTGTGTTTGTTTTAGTGTGTCTGTGTGTGTGTGTGTGTGTTTCTGTGCTATGTGTGTATCGGTGTTCCGAGAGCTTTGACTCCCAGTGTGGGGGTGTGTAAATAAATGTTGGAGCTGCGAAGAGGTGTGGCAAGAGGGGGGACAATGGTTACAGAGAACGGCCGGGAAAGAAAGTAGTCCGCTGGGTGGCGCCACTGAGCAAAGCTCCTTTAACTAACCGCTTACCGCTAACCCTAAGACAGAGAGAGAGACGAAGACCAGGGATGCAGACGAGTTTAGGTCCTTAAAACAAATTCGTCTAATTAGGAAATTAATTTGATAAAAAACTATACATTTTGGGGAATATTTGCAAGGCTGAGGTCCTATCTCTTGTAGATATTCTGGGAAATGATGGGGTTGATCAAAATACAGATTATACTTTGATAAAAAAGTACTATTGTACAACATATAATATGTATGTTATGGATAAGTGAATAAACACACTTGAAAGAATGATCATTGAATACTTTCATCCACACTTCACTAAATAACCGTCTAACATTCGAATTACCTGAATATTTACATATACTAAGAAGCCTATAAAAGTGATATTAAAACCATTCATACTACTAACACACCTAACCGTAGATATTACAAGACGAAATACTAACACACCATGCAAATTGTTTAATCTTGACATTTAACTATTCTTTCCATGCGCCTGCCATTGCGTTGGTCCTGCCAACCATCTCAAACACCTCCCGATCCCAACCATCCAGTGGACTTTATGATGGCAAATACCGGAGCTGGCGGCGGAGTGGAGACTCAGACGCAGCTAATGCAGAGTGCAGCGGCAGCCGCTGCGGTGGCGGCCACAAATGCGTCCGCTGCTCCAGTACAGAATGCGGCCGCAGTGGCCGCAGCAGCCCAGTTGCAGCAACAACAGGTGCAGCAAGCGATCCTGCAGGTGCAGCAACAACAGACACAGCAGGCGGTGGCCGCGGCTGCTGCCGCGGTTTCCCAGCAGCTCCAACAGCAGCAGCAGGCCGTCGTGGCCCAACAGGCGGTGGTGCAGCAGCAAGCAGCGTCAGTGGTACAGCAAGCTGCGGTCCAACAGGCCGTAGTGCCTCAGCCACAGCAGGCTCAGCCCAATACCAATGGCAATGCCGGATCGGCCGCCCAAAATGGCAGCAACGGCAGCACGGAGACGCGCACAAATCTTATTGTCAACTATTTGCCGCAAACAATGACAGAGGACGAGATACGTTCGCTCTTTTCCAGCGTCGGAGAGATTGAATCAGTGAAGCTGATACGCGACAAGTCGCAGGTCTACATCGATCCACTCAATCCACAAGCGCCCAGCAAGGGCCAGAGTCTGGGATACGGCTTCGTGAATTACGTCCGGCCGCAGGATGCCGAGCAGGCTGTCAATGTGTTGAATGGTCTGCGATTGCAGAACAAGACTATCAAGGTGTCGTTCGCCCGGCCATCTTCGGATGCCATCAAGGGCGCCAATCTGTATGTGTCGGGGCTGCCGAAGACGATGACCCAGCAGGAACTGGAGGCCATCTTCGCGCCATTCGGAGCTATAATCACATCGCGCATTTTACAGAACGCTGGCAACGATACGCAGACCAAGGGCGTGGGCTTCATTCGATTTGATAAGCGAGAGGAGGCCACAAGGGCTATCATTGCCTTGAACGGCACCACACCATCCAGCTGCACGGACCCCATTGTGGTTAAGTTCTCCAACACACCTGGCAGCACCAGTAAGATCATCCAGCCGCAGTTGCCCGCTTTCCTCAATCCTCAGCTGGTGCGACGCATCGGCGGCGCCATGCACACGCCAGTTAACAAGGGACTGGCCCGGTTTTCGCCAATGGCTGGTGACATGCTGGATGTTATGCTTCCCAATGGACTGGGCGCGGCGGCGGCGGCGGCAACAACGCTGGCAAGCGGTCCAGGCGGTGCGTATCCCATTTTTATCTACAATCTGGCGCCAGAAACGGAGGAGGCAGCCCTGTGGCAGCTATTTGGTCCCTTTGGGGCTGTGCAATCGGTCAAGATAGTCAAGGACCCCTCAACGAACCAGTGCAAGGGCTATGGCTTCGTCTCAATGACCAACTACGATGAGGCGGCCATGGCCATCCGGGCGCTTAACGGCTACACCATGGGCAATCGAGTGCTGCAGGTCAGCTTTAAGACCAACAAAGCCAAGTAGAGCGGCCCACGTGGAAATGGATAACGATGCAGCAGCACCCCCCTCGAAACCATTATCCTGAATCTAAACATCCTGACACTCACACACACACCAACACACCAACACACACACACACAACAAACATATATAAATATGCATGGTATAACGGTAACTAAGCGCAACAAAACAGTATGTGTAAAACACACACGAACAAAAACAAACAAGAAAGTAACAGGCAGGAGAAAGTACTCCCTCTCTCTCTAAATGAGACGACACAACGAAACGGCGAAGACCTCTCCCCAAAAAGCCCTTTTTTAACTACATAAATACCCCAAATCCAATCCCCAAAACCGCCGGCCAAAGCGTTGCAATAGCAAAATTCTTCTTGTTTAGCATTTAAGTAACAAATCATAAACTAAACGAAACAAGCGAAAGAAAGAAGCTGCCTGAAGTTATAAAAGAGATTTAGATTGAGGCAAGTAGATGAGTAGGGAGGCAGGAGACAGGAGGCAGGAGGCAGTGGAGTGAGAATTAAAATGAGATTATAAGGATAAATTGCAATATGAAGAACACAAACACACTCTGACAGCTGTGGAAGAGTCAAAGTCAAAGTCAAAGGTTGCCGCAGTCAAATTAGTCGCAAAGCAAAACAAAGAAATCAACCGAACACACAAAAATACACAAAAACTAAGACAAATTTAACTTTACTAGCAAAAAGAAAATGAGAAATTTTAAAAATTTATTAACCTTAAGTAAAACGCAGCAATGAAATCTTCCAAACAAATTAAAACCAAAAACAAAAACGAAAAACGAAAACAAGAAATCTGTTAGTTACACTCCAACTTTTTCTACCATAAAAACTTTGAAACTTGATACTAAAAAAGCGAAAAAACGAAAATCCAAAACAGAGTTAAGAGTTTAGCGGAGTTCAGTGTCTAGGATTTACATATATATATGTGGTGGTTATAGGACATCAGTTTGGCTTGATCGCAAGAGGGCGGGACAATGAAAAAAGGACCGCCTGAATATAATAGATATATATACATAACATGGAGGCTGCTACAGTATTACAAGAAACATAAAAACAAAAACAAAAACAAAATCCACATACTTAACGTACGAATGGCGAACGCGAACAGAGCACGTTTAATAATTCTAAATATATATCCATATGTATATGCGATAGTTCTATATCTACCTAGATATACACTTAAATATAGAAATTTAACGAATGTTTTTATGTTTCGTGTTTGTTTTCTGCACTTAGAAAACAAATTCCGATCGGAATCAAGATCAAGCCAAACTCGTGTCCCTTAAGCACACTCACACACTCACACACACATACACACACACAGTGAAAACTGTAAAAAATATATAGAAAACATATAGCATGATCGGATCGAGAGGAAGTTAGCGAACGGAAAACAAAAGAAATACAATAATTTATGCGCAAATTTGAAAAGTTTTACTAAAGTAAATAATTGTTAGTGAATATGAATACTGTAATTGTGCGAGTGTGTGTGTACGCAGGTGGGTGCAGGTTTATAGCCGTCTATGTACAGGCACGCGCTGTCGCAGGCACACACCTTATATACTTTAAATAATGAATAGTTCAAGGAGCAAGTAGGCATGAGTACTTGCTAAACCCAAACATTTTTAGCGTTTAATGAAAGCGTAGCACAAACCAATACTAAAAACTAAAAACTAAAAACAAAAAAACGAAAAAACCAAAAAGGAAAGCATCAACAACCATTTTTTATATGACAAAAGTTTAAAAGAAAGTAAAAAAAAGAAAAACAAACGAAACGAAAACGAAAAAGAAAAATGGGAATTTGAAGGGTGTAAACTAAAGCATTAGCAAAGCGATTTCTCTAGCCAAGTAAGTTGACAAAGGACAGAAGGAGGAGGGTCAGGATATAGGACGAGGATATCTCCCAGCACATCCTAAACATAAGTTTCTCCATGAACCCCCATGTCCAAAATCAAAAACTTTTGTGCAATTTTGCGTTACTTTTCCGTTTGTTTAACTATTATTCCGTATGTTTCTTTGCTTCTTTTGATTGTTAAAGCGAGAGAGTGAGACACACACACATTAGCCACACCAGACACACCAAGAACACACACATAAGTACCAACATATATGATTTCGATTCTGGATTCAATATTACGTACTAGATTTGAATTAAGTTTTGTTTGGTTTCTTTGTTTGCTTTGTATACGAATTGAATTTGACAATAGGCTCCTGCATCCAGTCCATGAAACCTGTCAGACCCAACCATGCATATTTATACGAATGATTTGTGTTTGATTTGTTTATAAACTTAACCTAAGACGACACAGCCCCAACTACTTTTGAGTTAACTCTCCGAATATAGCATAAATTCCTAAGCTAAGTTACAGTGACAAGCATTGATCAGGCAGCAGAACAGGGCAGGCCAGAGCAGGCCAGAACAGGGCAGAGCAGAGCCAAGAAAGCGAAATAGAAATTGATTATACTTTGATTATTATTACGATACCTAGCGCTATGTGTAATCAGATATATGTATGTCTTAGCATATATATCTATAAATATAATTATTTTTTTGTATAACTATAGGCCAACAAAGAATTCTTTTTTGTTTGAACAAAATTCGCAACACGAACTCTAGTCAGAAGATGGAAAAGAAGAAGATTACCTTGAGGAGGAGATAAGTTTTGAGGCGCCGCAATAGGGAGGAGTGTTAGATCAAAACCAAAAGAACTATGGCAATTTCTAGCTAATAAAAACCAGATGACAGTTTCCTTTCCTTTTCCAAAGATTTGGCCCCTCGAAACAGTTGAGAAGAGAAGCAAAAGAGAAAATTAACAAGAAAATTAAAAAGAAAAAGAATGAGAAAAGCAAGCAAAGGAAATATCCCACGACATGGACTTTCTGCTTTTTCGAATAAATTTGAAATACATTATATACAATCTGCTAGTTTATTTATACAACCACACGCAAAAAGAAAGAAAGAAAAACACACAGGAGGAAGTCCTCCTGTGGAATGAAGATTATGTACTTGATTTTGTTTAATTTATATTTCTGTCATCCCATAATCTCACTCACAGCAAACACCCCCAACCCACACAGACAACACACGCATATATCTAAATGTATATTCGATATTTAATTTAATTAACTAATTCTTTAATCTATATATATATATATACTTATATTTTTTGTCATCGATGATCTATTGATTGTATTAATTATAATTCTTGTGCAATAGTTTTAAAATGCAACTAACGGCAGACCAGCAGCAACAACAATTTTCAAGCATCTCAAACTATAAATTACAAATTATAATTTTATTAAGCGAGAAATGAGTAACGAAAGTAATACGCTAATGTAACTTGAAAGTATCATTATTTGATATAACTCCGTAAACGAGAAACAAACGCAAGCCACAGCAACTAGAAAAAGAAATTTAACAAAATATACAACAATTATTTTTTAAGCTAATTCGATATGTATCTCGAGTACATATACTTTATATCTCATCATTTTTCTTCACCTATTTAAGTAAGCAAAGAACGAAAACAGAAACGGAACCGGAAACGGAAACGGAAACGAAACAACAAACAACATTATTTATTGTATTTTTATAATTACGAAATTTAATTTAATTCTATTTGAATTGAACATCCTTTGGTTTCGAACAAAGCGAAGATGAACAAGAAGATTATGACGAAGAATTAGTCTAATTATACACTGAGATAAAAATATATATATATATATTTAGAGAGAGAGAGGGAGAGATCTAGATCTAGATCTTGATCTTGATCTTCTCTCTCCTCAGAATCTCCCCCTTTCTTAATATCTCTCTATTTACCCCAAAGTTTGGTTTAATTTTAATTTTGTACCTTGTATTTTGTATTTGATTTCGTTAACCAACCATTTTGATTTGATTTCAGCAACCACCTTTTATGTTTTAGTTTTAACTTATGATTTTACGCTATATCCATTTGATCTGTCACAGACACAGTAAAGGACACGACGACACAGCGGTTCTAGTTGATATCTTAGCTATACTCGTAAACAATCTGTCTGAATGTTACCATGTAAAGCCACGTTAGCTGATCGCTTTCTGTGAGTCCCATCGAATGAATATTATTATAATTATGTTTATTATTATTTAGTATGGTTTATTTCCTTTCTTTGATTTTGTGTATTTTGCTTTTTGATCGCGAGTTACGCCACAATTCATGTTTCCTCTTATGATTTCATTTGATTTCCGCACCAAACAACAAGTAAAAAAAAATACACGGAGAAAAAATTTACTTTCAATAAAAAACACTTGATGAAAATTTTAGCATCATTTTTATTTATATTTTGGTTTTGTTTGTATGATTTTAAACTATATGATTTTTCTACCTCGAATTATTCGTTTTCCCCAGTCCTGGAACACCAGGATTTTCTTCTATCTCCCCATCTCTCTCTCTCTCTCTATCTATCTATCTCTATCTCTTTCACTTTTATAAGAACTTATAAGAACCAGACAGACGGTCACTCAAAGATATAGGAATCGATCTAGTCAAGGCCCATCGCGGCCATCGGAATCCGTTGATCTCAGCAAAAGAAAAAAAAAGACATTCCCGATCGCTGTCCCAGTTTTGGTTAACAGTCCCCCAAGTCGTAGACCCAGTTAACAGTCCCCACGAAAAACAGTCCAAAGACTTGCATTCCAGTTTTTGTTGCTCGGTTTAGAGACTCTGCCAGTTGCGATATTATTTGTGTGCAAACGAGAATACTTTTAATTTGTGTAATGCTATTATGTTTAGTGCTTATGATTAATGAATCTCATAGTTTAGTTTAGCGGAGGAAGTACAGTCGCCCCGCCACGCCACGCCACGCCATGCCACTCCCCTAACATGTCGCGACATGTTCTCTCTGTATCATTTTGAACTTGTATCTTTGTATTGCTTAATTGTGTGTAATTTTTGTAATTTTTAGAGCAAAGTTTATCTATCATTTCGATGGGCAGAGATGAGGAGATGCTTAGCGGTAGAGCGATAGCGTTGACACAAATGATACCGTTAATAATCATTGACAAGAAGAAGGATGGAAATACCTTTTTTATATATTTATGATTATGATTATGATTAAAACGATGAAGCTGACGAAGATGGCGGCGAGAAGGAGGAAACTATTTAATTTATTTTATTAACATATTTATATCGATTAATTAATTAATTAATAATATTTATCACACATTTCAAATGATATTTCAAAATGAAAAACAATACAAAACCAAAAAAAAAAAACGAATACAAGCAAATTAAAAAAGATATTAATTATAAATGTATTTCAAAATATATGATTATGAGTTTTTCTTGCTTTTTCCATATACATATTCATATATATATATATATATATTTATGCATATAACTATTTATATATATATATATGCATATCTCTCTATATAGTATATATCAGAACACACCGAACTTTTGTTTTGTTCCGTTGGATTTTTGGTTACCTTAACTTTCTCTTTGGTTTCAGCTCTAGCTCTTGCTTTCCTTCATTTTCAATTCCGACTGTTTTCGAAGTTCACAAATATTTTGAATTCTCTTTGGGTTTTCCTTAAGTTTTCCTTAACCTTTTCTTTCGATGGCATTTTCATCTTAGACTGGTTTGGCTTTGGGTTTTGATTCTCTTTTAGTTTTGGTTTTGGTTCTAACAGTGTCTATCACACTAACACACAGATACACAACACCCTCTCTATTTCGAAGATTTCAGTTTCAGTTTGTTGTGTGCCCCCTCTCGAGAAGAGTATGCTCTTTGTTTGCTCTTATGATTTCGCTCAGTGTATTTTGAACGTACGCTTTTTGGTCCCACTGTATTTGCCCGCTGAGAAGGAAGATTTAACGAGAGACGATGTGACGATGATGATGATCCGATCCGATTTTGACATTTCAGTTGATTCCCCTTTCGTTCCTTTCGTTGTGGGCCGACTACATACATATGTATTATATATATTCCCGATCGATCAGTAGCAGATTTTCGTTTCCGGATTATCGATATCAATTTTCAGTTTCAGTTCGTTGTTGGCGTTGTTATATATTGTTGTATTGTTCGTATCCTCACTCACTTTTATTGTTTCGTGTGATTTTTCGGTAAGTAAGAGTAATCGGAGAAGATAGAGCATCGGGAGATGCGATCGAGATCGGACCGATCCGTACTAATTTTGGCACATGTTTTTCCCAATATACAATTTGCGAGCAAAACTGATGATTTATCTAAATGGTTGTTTCCTTCTCTTTTTATTAATCTATTTGTAGCAAACTAAAAAACTGTAAAGTTAACACATGAATATCCTGCAGCAAAAAGTATGATCATTTACAAAGCATTTTCTAATTTGTTTCTTTCTCTTGATTTATTTTCAGGCGTGTTCTTGTTGTTCGTTCGATTTTCAATTGAATTTATGCAAAAACCAAAAAAAACCAAACAAATATATTTCAAACACATTTCTTCAACTTGAATTTCGATTAAATTGATTAATGATTAATTGATTACTTCGTTAAACCGATAATGATTGTGTAATTATATTGATTGATTGATACTTTAATGTTTAATATTGATTGTAATTATTTAAAGCATAAACCACAGATGTCCACAGATCCACCCGATTCCCTGATTCCTGATTCCTAATTCCTGACTCCTGACTCTCCCAACTTTTCCAAATCGATGTACATATATTGTACATACATGATTTATACTGTACCCTTCCCCCCAACACGTACACTCGGAGAAACACTTACGTTTTGTATTGCAATTAAAGAAAAAGTTCGAAGAACTCCAATTCGAAAGCGTTTTCTAGTTTATAGATTTGATTTTCAACCAGCCAAGCACAACCCACCAACCTCACACCAACTAAGCAACCATCGGTATCTTAGAAACTGATCAAAACTATTACCGAAAGGGTAGTCAGATAGCTGATCCTTCATAGCTCTCCGAGTCAAAAGTAAAACTAGTCTACAAATTTGTATATATTATTTTGAATTTGAAAAACTGAAATATTGTTTTGGATTATTTGAAAGCGATTGGGTTCTTGTATGATACATTTTGATTCCGTGAAAGGAACTTTATGGTTTCGTCTATAGTCTCTGTCTGATAATGTACATAAATCTGATTTCGATTTCGATTTTGGTTCTTATTTCGGTTCTCATTCCGTGCCAGTCATTCTGTCCGTTCAATGTGATTATTTGTGATTTGTTGTGTGTGTATATAGAGGAGCAACCCTTTGTTGTGTCTTTTAAGTTCCCGAAGAGAAGAGTTTCAGTTTTCCGTTATCCGTTTTCCACTAAACCGAAGAACAAAAGCACCCACCACGCCCAACCCCCCAACCCGAAGTCCCGTGTACAATGCCTAGTTATAGAGCGCTATATAGATATAGAAACGATATTAGAACGCGAGAACGTAGAGCTCGACTTTTCGTTTGATTTCCGGGGATTCCCCGCAGCTTGGGTTCCTTTTGTATTAACTGTGATCTCTGATTTGATCCTCTTCAGTTGACTTGTTTTCTACCTTCTCGACTGACTTTCCAAAGCTTGGAAGAAAAGCAAAAACATGAAACTGATACCGAACTGCCCAAGGCAAAAGCAATGTGTAAATTTAAACAATCTATAAATAAGCGGATTAAAGGTTGATAGCAACTAAACCCAAAGACTGAGGCAAGCACACGAAAAATATGAATTAACTTAGAGAAAAACAAATCGAAAAACAAGAGTGAAAGCAAAGAATCAAACAAAAACAAAAACGAATCAAATAATTCTTAGTTCGTTAAGGCAACTGTGATAAGGCGAACCAACCCCCGCCAAAAAACCCCCACCCAGCAAACCCCCACCCCGAAACCCCAAAATAACTATATATATAATATATATATATATATAATATTAAATAAATAACCTCACCGAGAGACTAAAGTGCGACTTGACTAGCTCTAAGTAACCATCTCTGAGTAATGCGCTTCTTACACTACGTTGGTCTTGTTTTGTGAATGGATCGATCCATGTTAAGTGATAATGTTTCCTACCCAGATTTACATTAAGCTATGAGATAACGATGAAATGTGATCTTACATTATATTACTTCCAGCAATGTTTATAGAAAATGTCTTTTTGATTAGGCACTGAAATGCGAGTACGCCAGCCAGGGTAAGAAGCGCATTGCTCGAACACTTACCAGTTGGGCGCGATGTCCTGGAGGCCGGCGTGCTGCCAGGTGGTTCGGAGCTGCTCCAGCAGAAAGGACACGGGCATCCCGTGAATGTTGCCCGACTGCGAAGTGCTGTGCAGATTGATGTCGGCATGAGCGTCGATCCAGACCAGCGACAAATTCGGAGTGTGCTGCAGGTGTCCGGCCACAGAGCCTGCAACAGGCAAATCGGATTTTTGGATTCCATCATTGGAGCGAGGGCCAGGATATGGATACTCACCGAAACCGATCGCATGATCGCCGCCAATGGTCAGAAACTGCGAGTTCTCCGAGAGCATTAGCTTCACCTGCTCAATCAAAGCTCGATTGCAGGCCATGAAGTCCGCGTAGTTGCGGATGTGGTGATAGTGGACTCGCTGCTGCTGAAGAAGGGGCTCGTCCACGGCGTACTGCAGGTTTCCGTAGTCCCGTATCACCAGGCCATCTGGGCAATAAAATCATTTATTTATACCTTAACCTTGACTGTTGTTTTATTTTGGGGGTCCGTAGTCTAAGTCTGCCCCTAATCACAGATCTTCTAACTTACCATGACTGCTCTGCAGGACCTGACGCAAACTGCTCTGCCGGAGGAGATCCGGCGCCAGTTCCACTCCCTGTTTACCCTGCCCCTTGGCAAAGGGCACTCCAATGATGCCCAGAGTCTGCTCAGCTTCCCTGAAGGTCGTTGCTGCGGTGCTCTTCGCCCTCTGCAGGTGGATACACCTTGAGGCTAACTTGCGGCTCCACCCCATGCTTTGTGCGTGCTGTCAGTTGGGATATGTTCTGTTTGCTCTGCTCGCAACGCTAGAAGATCAGCAACTGAGGATCCGCAGTGGAGGAGACAACAACCGTGGCGTCGTCCCAACGACAATGAGCACGAATAGCAACTATCTCTTGGGCTCTGGACCCCCTGATAAAGCTCGTGCGACAGTTCAGCTGAGATCGGCGGACATTGTAGTGGCTATATGGTTGTATGGCTGTGTGGATGGATGGAGCGAGAGCCACTGGGCATGGGTGATAAGGCTGTTGACTGTTATCGCCAGATGACCTTGATCCTGACGCTGACGACAACAGCGGCGATGGTCAAAGCGCCACCATCCACAAAGGCAAGAGGCTCCACCAACTCACACACTTCCTCTATTGTAATACAGACTTCCCAGTAGGGAACACTTTTCCTTATCACATAACAGAATTAGAACATCGAATTTAACACAGAGTCAGATTAAAGTAACAGCGTGTAAAGGTTGTAACATATTTCATAGACAAAACAACATTATTCTAATCAGGAAAGGAAGCCTCAGATGGCCCCGACCGGCGCAAGATCATAATCTCCGACCAGCTTTCCACTTCCCCGATATGTAGGTATATATATATATTATTTTTATTCATTTAGTTGCTTACATCGTTTAAATTGCAATATTTGTGGATATGTATGCGACACAAGTATATATATATAGTATATTTATATATGTATATTTTTTAAATATGTAAATGCTGCACCTTGTGGAATATGAATATCAACTATATTCTTTGTCTTTATGTGCTCTACATGTATATAGTTTAAGTCGTGCAGTGCATATCTGAAGTATTTAATGTCTGTTTCGTGTATATTTGTATTTGTATTTCATAAATTAGGCATATCCAAAAGATATTATAAAATCTGTTAACTGGTCTTGTTATGGTTCCTCTTCATTTAGCTGCATAATTGTCTAATTCTCTTAGCTGTTTTGCATGCATACAGAGGGCTCGTGTGAGTATATGTTTCTGGTTATTAGCATGTCTTTGTTTATACTTTAACATGGGTCATTAAACTATTAAGTACTACGATTAAAATTGATTTTAGAAAAGAGTTAAGCCAATAAAATTGCACTTCTACGGAAGGCCTTTAAACTTTAAAACTGTGACTAAGTTTTGATTAAAAACAAACAAAAATTAATAAACTTAATCCGCTCTGTATGCACTTGGCTATGATTCTTCACAAGATTCGCGTCTTTCGTCGTTCTCTTCACAACTTTTGATTATTTCCTTTTGCTAGATTTGTAAGGCTGTCAGTCTTTAGTTAAGTTACGGTTAAGCAGTTCTGTTGGCTGGACAGATAAGTATATATATATATATATATATGAGTGTATATATCTCTACATAGACGGGCTATAAAGGCATGGAAGAGAGATTCGCCGAGTGGGTTGGGGCCGGGGGGTTTGTAGAGGTTGGAGCACAACATTCTCTATTTAAAGCTGACAATTGTGATGCATTCTAGGTGCGAGCTTACTAACGTTAAAGCGCAGACGCAAATCATACCATTGTATATCGAATAATTAAGTTACGTTTTAGGGATACATAGATATATATTACACAAAAATAAAAAAAAGTTAGAGCAATGTTTGCGTTGGTTTCTCATGAAAACGTTTTGAATCACAGTTATGTTGTGTGTGGTTGCAGTGGTTAATGGATCAAGTGATTCCTGGTGGTTGGGACAGTTGAGATTGGTATTGATCAGGGACCAACGGGAGGTCTAGTGCCGGCGCTTGTTCCCGTGGTTGTGCAGCATCACTATCTCATCGCCACTGTCGTCGGCCACATCCAGTTCCGGCTCTATGTGCGGCCCATCGTCGTCCTCCTCATCCGTGTGTAGGATGCGCTCCAGCTGCTCCTCGTCAAAGTACGGCTGGATGGTCATGCCGCCTGCAGAGTAACATAAATCATTAGCCTCAGTGTTTAATGAGATCTACCCCCTCCCAAACTCACGTTTAATTGGCGAGCGGAAGAGCTCCGTTTCCCCATCATCGCCCGCCTCATCATCCTCCAGATCAAACTGCTCTTTGCCCTTTTGCGGCAGCAGTGAGAAGTTGTAGTAGGGCTTGTTCCCCCGGTGGCGTCTGTAGAACCAAAACTGGGCACAAAGCACACATATGACCACACTGACGATGATCAAGACACTGGCAACCAGGATGAACAGGAAGCGGGGCAGCCCAAAGACATGCTCGTTAACCTTCAGGTGGAAGACCACGTTCTCAGTGGCCAAACCACCCTGGATCAGGTGCATCTGACGCGTCGCCTCCACATGACGCGGTGCCTCTACTTTCAGGGTGATAGTGCCCAATGGCACCGCCGATATATGATACTGGCCCATGCTGTTGGTGAAGTTCCTCAGTTTTGTCTGGCCCACCACCGACACCTTGGCATTCCGCACCGGGTGATTGCTCTCATCCAGCACCACTCCTGCAATGCTAGTGGTGCTTCCATAAGCACTATTTTGCAGCTCCACAACCGAGCCGCGAATCAACGTGAAGGCGTTCAAGCGTATGCTTCCCAAATCCGTGATTTGACCTTCTTTTATGTCCACTTTGATCATTTGCGACTCGTAGTTGGGAGCGGTCACCTCCAAGCCATAGAGGCCATGGGGCAGCATCACTTGGAAACGCGCCACGTTCTTGGTGACGTTGATGATCCGCTGGTGCTCGAGCAATCGGACAAAGGCCTCTCTCAGTGGTTGCCCCTTGTCGTTCTGCACCAAGCCACTTACTCCTGTCCTAACCAGAGCCAAAAAGTTCTTGATCTTGTCTATGTTCTTGCGCCACACGGAGGCGATTTGCTTGTGATGCGGCATCCGGCAGCAGGATATGCCCAAGGTGTAAACGGGCAAGTTGTACATGCGGTAGATCATGTTGGTCAATCTCTCCGTGGTCTCCCGGTGTGCCTGCCTCGTGGCGGATACAGGGCACTGGAGGGGCGAGTAGTTGAACTCCGTCCGCTGCATTCCATGGGCAAACTTCTCCAGAACGGAATCTCCTTTCGGATAAGTCAACTCGGAGCTGCCGGCTCCGAAGGTAAGCATAAGATCGAAGCGTTCGGTGCGCAGGAACTCCAGGAACATGTCCTTGGCCTGGTCCGTCTCTGGATTAAGAATGCGTTCTGCCAGCTCATCGCCCAGCACGGGATCGCAAATGGAGGAGCTGTGTGGTTCAAGAACTTGTTAATAAACTTCAAAGATTTCAAGTTGTCGTACTTACTTGTCGTTGTACATGTTAAAGACGTCCTGGAACTTGCCAGTCTGCGGCAGGAAGTAGATAACACTGCGCTTCAGCAGATCCAGCACAGAGGCATCCTGCAGCTTGAAGCCCTCGACAAGGTGCCGAATAAGGTTGAGCAGAATCTCCCTGCCCAATGGAGCGGCTGTATCGTATAGGGAACTCACCACCAGCAGCTTGTATTTATGCTCCTCGGGCTCACCAATCTGCGATAGAGAAAGACCGTTTAAGATTAAGATTCCATGGATTAGTATCTTGAAATTGTATATGCCACAATGGCAGATCCACTCACGTCGTTGGTCATTTTGAGATAGTTGAAGTAGGTGCTGAACTCATTGTCGCCATAGCCAAAGCTGGCAATCTGGCCATTTTGGTTCTCCAGCTCCGCGAGTCGAGATCTAATCTGAGGATTGGTGTGGTAACGGGTGTTTACCACGTTCTCGATAATCCTGAAGTCATTGGCCGAGGCCCAGTGCTGCGGATCATCGGGCATGAGCGTGACATCCATGCGCATCTCATAGGGTTCTCCCTCGGGCACCTCCACTTCCACCCGCATCGGAGCGTAATTGTCACCCAAAACGGTAAGGTTGTGCCGGCCAGGCAGCGCCAACTTCCAATAATCTCCGAAAGTTTGACTGTAGCTCGAGTGATTGGCACCATCCAAACGGATAACAGCTCCGGCGATCGGAGTGCCGATGGTGCTGTGCACAAAGCCATGGATGCCATGATGAACTTGCTCTATAAACTGGATCAGTGGCTCCCGATGATCCTGCCAGTATTGCGGCAGTTCCGCGGCCATTGGGAACTTATCGCAACCCATTTCGATGGTCAGCTCCATACATCCTGCCGTCACATAGTTCCAATCCTGCATTCCCCCCGTCACACTGTACCATTGGGCACCATTGGTGATGCCATCGGCGAAGAATTCATTTTGAAAGAGTTCACACGGTTGACCCAGGTGCATGGTGGGGTGTGCCTTCGAGTAGACTCCGGCCAGATGTCTGAACAGGGCATTATCCTCGGTCGGATTGGCCTTGCGTCCATTGATACTGGAATTCCTTAGCCTCATGATGGGATCAGTGAAATCATTCTCGTTATCGTCAAACGGATAGTTGGCTACCAGGGACCCACCATGCAGATTGGCGGACAGAACGAATGGCAGCGACAGGGTCCAGTTCATCAGGGCGGCTACCTCGGGCTCCGTTACCTTGTTGAACCTATCCGTGCCATATTGATCCGGGAAGTTCCTGTTCAGGTCAATCCCATGGGCATTCGATCGTCCAACGCCACCGGTACGATCCCCTTCGATGGAGATCTCAGCGCCATCGGGGTTCATGCTGTACAGAAAATGCATCCGCGTGTTATTCACCAGCTTGGTAATCCTGTCATCGTTGCCGTAGCGCTCCAGCATGTATTTGGTGAGGAGTAGTAGCAATTCCTTGCCCACCACCTCATTGCCATGCATGTTGGCCACATATTTGAACTCCGGCACACCCGGCACATGCGAACCCGGGGTGGCAAAGATCTCCAGCACCCAGAGATCGCGCCCCTGGACACTCTTGCCAATGCTGTAGAGACGGGTGAGCGAGGGATAGCTGCTGGAGATCTCCCTCAGGAAGCTGGAAAAGCAAACAGAGATGTTGTTTATAAGGATTTGATTTGATTTTCCGGAATTCCGGATCTTAAATATCGAATTAGAGAAGTGCAGACGTATGTATATAAAACATATGTTAACATTTTCCTAATGTCTCTTAAGGATTTCCAATTTTTGGGGGGCTTTTCTAGGAGCCGCATGTTTACCTCTCCATGGCCGTGAAGTTGTGGTGTTCGAACTTGGTGGGGGTCAGGAATCCGTTGAACTGCTCCTTGCGCTTCTCTGGCGGCTCTGAGCGGACGACTTTAACCTTCCGGAAGTTTCCTGTGGGAATGGGAAAGCGGAAACGGAACTGGGTGAGGATGTTGAATGTGTAATCATGCCATTTTCTGTTTTCTTTTTTGCTTAAGAGGGGGTGCCACATGCGAGTGCCTGGTGAAATCGGAGTGAGGGATGGGATGGGATGGGATGGGATGCAGTGCGTCTATGAATCAACGGCGGCGGGAGAAGCTAGAATCAGCAGCAGAATCACAAGCACAAGCAGATGCATAATTTCGTTCGTTTATTTTGCCATAATTTCATAGTTCACATTTATTTAAGATAAAATCCAAGTAAAATGCCAAAGAAAATGCTTGACTCTTGTCCTCGTCCTTGATTAGGTGCCATACATACATACATACATACATACATATATATATATATAACTTATCCGTTTCAAAATCTACATAGAAATATAGTTTGACTTTGGCACACAGGCTTTTCGTTCGATTTGATTTTTAGGTACTTAGTGGAATATACAATTAAAACTTCATTAGATGTGACTCGACACGCCCCCAACTTTGATACGATCGTAAGGCAAAGGATATATATAAACCTATGATTCCGGCGAAGGAAACTGAGGGAAAAGAAGACAGAGAAAGGCTAAAGCAACTTTCAACTAGATTGACGAACAGAAGATAAGACCAAAGAAGGGCTTTCAAATTGAAATGAAAAACGAATAATAAAGAACATTAAAAACTCGACAGTTTAAAGGTAAACCAAGGTGACATAAAGGTAAAATAAAATGGAAAATGAAATGGTGATCGATGATCAATGATCGATGAATGAAAATAAAACGCAGCAAGCGAAAATCAAAATTTTATTCATCCTTAGCCAATGATGGATGGCACCTCGCAATGCCCTCATGCCATAGATCGTCATTGGATTTCACCCAGGTCTTATCAACATCGTAAATATATATATAGATATCTATACATATATATATATATATATATTAAAAGCCATACATGAGCGTGTGTGCTACACAAATAGTCGAATCGTTATTGATAATAATTTCGCTTTACTTTCTTTTTTTTTTGTTTTTTTTTTTGGAGAAATGCTCAACAATAGTTTCTGATAGGATTAACCATACGATTCGCATACAATCTACATCGATAGTGATAGTATATAGAGCGGTACGTGTATATAGTGGGTACATATGCGTGGGCTTTGTGTTTATCATAGTATTGGTTTCGGGCTCATCGTTGCTAAAATGCTCCACAATATGTGTCTGGGGGGGGTGGGGAAGATACGGGGGAATGGAGATCAAGCTAAAACCGATTCATTTTTGGATCTTCTTATGTTCGTAAAGGTCATTCGATGACCCCAAGTGGGCTGATTTCTTCATAAGTTCCTAAGTACAATTCGCTTATTCGATTTTCGTATTTTATTTGGTTTGGTATTAGTTCCTTTTCTTGTTAATCGCTCCTCGTTTTTCTCTATATACAAATCAAACAGTTTTCGCTGAGTGTGTGCGCGACAGAGACAGAGATGATGGCGTGGGCAAGAGATAGAGATAGCTTTCACAAGCTGGCAGTAGAGCGTAAGAAAGTAATACAGGAGATTCCGAAGCAAAAGCTAATGGAAATGCAACATAAATGTTAAACAAAAAAGGGGAAACATATAATGGATTCGAGAAAAACTGAAACCCAGTCTCGCAGGAATACAGATCGATGATCGACTCTGGATGAGAAGAACCAAATGAACATGCCAAACGAATATAGAATATAGATCGGGTTCGGGGAGATAACATAGATATAGTACAAGGAGTTAGTGCGGAGTGAGCAGGAGGAGCAGGCCAACTAGGTGCAGGTCATGGAATGGCTATGTGTGTGTGTGTTTGTGTTTCGTTTTTTCTAGCTGGCGACTAAAATACATATGCGCATATATATATGTAAATCCGTTGCAGCCCTCTCTAGAAATAATAGGGACTGTAAAAACTGCTAATACCATCAAAGTCCGTCTCGACGGGCGTCAGCTTGAAGTCCAGGCGCAAGGCCTCCTGGTTATCGTTGGTCACACGGACTTGCTGAGGGGCACTGGTCTGGTAACTGCATTTCGGGTATAAGGAACAAGATTAGCAAGGGAGTCCAGGACACCAATAGTACACAAAAGACGCACCCAAAGGCGGCGGCATGCACGCTATAGAGTCCAGGGGTCAACAGCCTCCAGTATTCGCCACGTTTCGAGGTGCGCATGGGTTTCTCCTCCAGTCCGGCGACATAGATATTGGCATCGGGTATTGGGAAGCCACTGACATCCGTCACCAGGCCCTTGATACCGATGTGCGCCTGGCGTAGCAGCTGCAGCAGCGATGCCTTGTTCCGCTGCCACTCCTGGGGCAAAGTGCTGGCCGGCGGATATTTGCAGCAGGACAACTCAATGGTCAGCTCAAAGCAGTTGCTAAACGCGTAGTTGAAGTCCTGCATTCCGCCGGATAGCTCGTACCAATTGGCTCCGTTGGTGATGCCACCGGAGAAGCTATCGTTGCAGTTGTTGCCCTGTCTCATTATCGGATGGTTGTCCGAATAGCTGTGGGCCAGCTGCTTAAATACCCGATCGTCCGGGGTCAAGCTCTCCTCGCAGCACTCGTTGTGGGCCCTGTGAAAGAAGGAGATTAGATCCTCGGGAATTTATCAGGGTTTTCCAATACTTACAAGGAGTTATCGTAGGGATAGCTAGCCACGACGGCTCCGCCGTGGAAATTAGCGGAGAGCACAAACGGCTTGGTGGTGATCCATTCGATAAGGGCCGTCGTTTCCGGCTGTCGGGAATGGGGGCGCAACTGGTGGAAATGGTTTGGCTCCAGCCGATCGGGGAAATCGCGATTTAAGTCAACATTGGCTGCATTTCCGCGTCCCACATAGTTCGGTAGCGATTCGCAGTTGCCTTCCTGTAAAAAAAAATATAATCAGTTTTGTCCTTAGGTAAACGAATTTATCATTGCGACTTAATCATAAGACCCATTCAGAGGTAATGCCAAGAGAGGATGGCAATGGAGGATGGAAATACCCATCTGCTTTGGGCCAAGCTAAAAAGTTTCTCTTTCGGTCTTTCACTCTGTTATGGGCTGATTGTCATGCGGGTCAGTCCTGACCGGAATTGACCATTTAGCATGGCAGTCAGGTGTCAACCGAGTGATTACACCATAACGATCGCGGCGAAAGAAGGGCCTTCGATCGATATTCGATAATAATATTGTGCGATGGAGCAGGCAAAACTTAAAAGCTCGTCCTCCCCTTTTCCTCCTGGCCAATCAGAGCAGTAATCAATCAATCAATCGGAGAGCAGAAACCCAACACAATGAACTCAGTAAAATCAGAAGGCTGAACCAGAGGGGTTCTTCCCCCTGTGGACTATGGACCATTGCATAATTAACAAATTACACCATTAAGGGCCAGCTTAAATGGATCATGTCATCATTATAGCCACAATGATCACGCTACCGATCGGAAGTTCACATGGGAAAACATATAAAAGGCAGTCGTGGGATAAACTGGGCAAAAAGTGCTATCGCTGCACTGATCTACGAGTGAAATTGTAAGCGACGTGGTATTTTTTGAATCGTTTGAATCATTTTGATCAAAATGAATCATGGGAATTTTTGGAGATTGATATTGCCCATAAGGAAAATAAAGCTGATAAAAATTTACATTCCAAATAACAAGCTATGCCCTTAAACTGGAAACACAAATGTGATTCATATTCGTATACACATTTTTATATAGTTTTATCAAATCTGAATTTTTAGAAAGAAACTTTGGGACACGTTCCTAAGAACTGCTATTCACAAGGAAACTTTTGTTCGTCATAAATAGAAGATAAAGTTGGGTAATATATCCCAATTAAACCAAACATCTCAATTGAAGACTCTCTAAGACCCAACATCGTGTATTCTACTACACGTATTTCTCTTGGAATTGAATTCAACTTCCCTGAAATTGGGTTATATTTAAAGATTATTGAATAAGTGCATATAGCTAATCATCGATTTGAATTCCGCGAGTGCATCGTCCAGATTGTATTAATCTGACCTTTGCTGCTGCGGCAGCAGCAACAACAAAGACCAATCGGGCCAAAGAGAGAGAGGCTGTACAATAATTGCGTGCTTCTGTTTACCTCGCAATAGACACGATTCAAAAAGCTATTGATAAACAACCGAGCAGAACGTCAACACTTCGAGTTGGCCTAACTCAATGGAATATAAAGTGCCAAGTTTTGGGTGTGCGATGTACTCGCTTGTTTTGGTAACATTTAGCACTCTCAGCGTTTTTATCAACCCTAGGGCCCATAAAAAGTTGTTAAGATAACATTTTAAGCTAACACAAGAAACCTTAAATGTCTTTCTCTCGGCTCTTGACGTAGGCCGAGAAAGGGCGGGGTTTTTCGGGGTCCTCTCAATATTTTTGGGTAACAGATTTGTGCAGTTAGGCTACTAGACTTTACCCCTATTATGTTCGTCATTGGATCCTATGATTCAAAAGTTCAAAATCTCCTTGTGTATGTGCACTTCCACATCCTCCCCCTCTTTGGTGTACCCCTAGAGTGTTCCCACTCGCACTCCCGTATCGAAAAGGTTACCCGAAAGTCCGCCTACAGTCCGCCCACACACACTCTCCCGGTTATTGATTTTTCACCAGAGCGCCCGATTTACAAACAAAACACGCGCCCCAACAGGTGACAGGCTGTGTTCATTACCTGGGACAACGCATAGCCATCCGGATTCATGGTAGGCATCAGGTAGATGTCCGTGCTGTTGACCAGCTGTCCCACATCGGAGATCAGTTCGTGGTTGCTGAGCAGATATTGGGCCAGATAAACCAGGAGCTGCCTGCCCACGGTCTCGTCTCCGTGCATATTCGCAATATACTTGACTGGCGGCGTGAGGAGATTCCGGGCACGGACGTTCCTAGAGATTTGTAGGGCCAGCAGATTGTTGCCTGCCACGGAACGACCAAGGTTGTGAACTCTTGCCTGGTCGGGATATGCCTTAGCCAGGCCCGCAAACAGATCCTCCAGCTGTCCCTGGCTGGTATAGTGCGGCCGCTGCAGGAAGGACTCGTCCTCCCTGATGCTCTTGCCATGGCCGGAGGATATACCCGCCAGCAAGGCGATGGCGACGAACAGAAGACCCAGAGTTGGCATCTTGCGATTTGAAATCTTGTCGGGACTGTGTTGTTTTTATCACTGGCGTGCGAATCGAGCGAGATACAGTTATTTCCTTCAGCAGCAGCAGCAGTAGCTACTCCTCCGCTCTCTCTCGCGCTCGCTCTCTACTTTTTTGTCCGTCGGGCGTCCGTTCGTCGTGGGTCGTCGTTGCAGCTCAGCCTCGAAAAATCAACTGTTCAAAATTTTGCTGCGTTGATTGGCCTCAAGCGCCCGCCGCTGTTGCCTCTGCCGCTGCCACTGCCTCTGCCTCAGTCGTCGTGGCACAGTGGAGCACAGGTTAGTGGAGCGACCCAAAAAAAAACCAGGATGACTAACACAAAATCCCATTTTTCTTCAACCACAACTAATTAATGTTGACTCGGTATATTATGCCCAAGTGTAGCGACCACTAGATATAATGTTCCAATAAAGGGCTTAATAAGAAGAGCATCTGTTACCAGTTAGAAAGATTCAGTCTTCGCAACCCCTAGTCCCACTGTACATCGTTCCAAGAGAGCAGACCCAAAAGCCAGAGAGGCGCTAATTGTAGGGAAATTACACGCAGTAGCGAACGCCAAAACCATCAAAATGCCGCTGGTGAAAAAGCTTAAGTTTACTCTCTTTAGTCGGCTCTAGTCGACTGCCATGGATAAATAGTCTATAGTTTATTTAGGTGCTTTTAATTTGGTTATTATTACCACAGAGGTGGAGTAGTCAGGCCCGTCAACTGGGACGCCTGCGCATGTGCGGGTGGGAGAGTGGGAGAACTACGAGTGACGCGAGAGCCGCACAACGCACGTCAACACAGGATATTTTTACACGAAAATCAATAACTGCACTCCCACGCCGTGACGTCACAGACTGTGACTGTCCATCCTTTGCGTGGGTTACCACGAAACCGCCCATACAAACACGGCCTATCGATAAGCCAACAAAATTGGCACACTCACAAAATTAAGAGCGGCAACTCGCTGTTATCAGTGAACTACGAAGTCTGCCATATGGGCACTTCCAGTTCCCCCTCGCCCCTTCCCTCCCACCGAGGAATTCACCCCCCTAGTACACTTCCAATGATTAAACAACAACGGCTGCGAATCCAAAAACATACATACATATGGTCAGCTCTGATCTGCTTATTGGAAAGCTGTTAAGTGGAAGAAAGGGGAGAGCGTTAATATATTCGAAAGGCACTTCCTTGAGGAATTGAGGTTGCTGAGGTGGATGCGAACTGTGAATACCCTACACTGCGAAGAATACCTAGGGTATGTCTATATTAATATTAATATTATAAGACATTATTTCTGTATCGTTCAGATATAAACCACAAAGATACGTTTATGACTCAAAAAACATTTCTAATGAAGCAGCATATGCTTAGAACTATAACATTTCCTACAACCTCTAAAGAGCTGATATACCTTCAAATCCAAAAGCAAAGAAGTACTCCTCTTTGGCAGCCACCGGAAAACCAAGGTGTCTGATTTACGTACATTATGCTGGAGGAGCGAACAGCTGTTGATTGAAAAGTGCATTCAGGCCGTATAAATATAAAAATACACAACGGAAATTGGCTAACTTTTCAGCGCTCTCGACTGTCGGCAGCAAAGCACCGCCAACTGAACAACAACAAAAAACCGGTCGCGAATAAGTGTCTCAATTGCAGGGAAATAATATGAAGTGAATAAAGCACGAACGTCATCGGTGGCTTGCTTCTGTGGCTGTAGTTGCTGTTATTGTTATTGTTGTGACATGTAACCAGTTTCTTGTAAAGTAATTGCCATTCTCACCCGCTCAGGGGGTGGTGGCCGCCCTGTCGTCGGCTGCCTTTTGTGGTTGCCGTTGCAATTGCGAAATCATGACGTCAGCAGGCCGACAAACTATGATTACTTTATCATCAGATTATTGAGGAGAGACCATAGAACTGTCACCAAGATACGCACGCCCACACACAGCGACAAATATCCATAGATTAGATACCATTATAATATCTAATACGAATATTGAAGGTTTTTTTGATATTCTTAATCATGGGATTGGTTGAAAGTAAATTTAAATAAAATAACTATTTCCATTTCACTATCCTATAAGTTATATTCGCAATTTCTCACAGTACATAGCGCCTTGAACAGGCCGTAAAATTGGCTTACCAACATTTCAATCTAATCAAAGTCAGATACTGACCATTAGAGTGTCAGAAGTCGACGCAAACAAGGCCATTTAAAATATTTACAAGCTTAACTGGTACTCATTAAGAATGCAATAATTCAAATTCTTAGTTTGAACAGCTTGTTCTGATGAAGTCCATGTGCAATATGCACTCGCCACTTGAGTTTGGGGCAAATACAACGCCAGACAAGATCTATAAAGATCTCTAATGGCCTCAATGCTGATAAAACAAATACAACTGGCCCCGTTTAATTGTTTTCATTTTTTGCACGTTGTTTGTTTGTCTGAAACCAAGCTCGATCCTTAGCTGCGCAAGCTCGTAATATCATCAGATAGTACCTCTGATCTTGTGGGAATTATACAGCTGGGTAGCGCAAACAAAAACCGTCTAATTAATGCAAAGTATAATATAGTTTTAGGGAATTTACCGCATCGGCAGGGGAATTCCTACATGATAACCACTGTTGATAACTTCACCGGAGCAATGCAATATTAATTAAATAACAATTCCCGGAATGGGTTTCTTATCAGAAGGCATTATGAGAATTCATCTCTCTTGAGAATAGGTACATCTGCATTATCATCAGATAGACTTAAAAGAAATTAGAGCTCTCCTCAAGAAACCATTACTTGAGTCCATTGAAGAGCTCTTGGGAGCCATGAAACCAATAGCAATTTGAGGGCCACTCGAAAGACACTTTGAAAAACATTTGAAACGCTGTGTCTCAGCTAAGATTTGTGGGGTTCGTTTGGAATTCTTGGGTGCTAATTGAGCGATCATACACGTCGGCTAACCACAAGCCAGAAAAAGTGGGTCAAAACACACCGATCAGAATGCGGCTGAGCTGTGTGTAGTTGGGGCATAAGATCTTGTTTTTCTGGAGATCGTAGATTGCACCCCTCGCCTTCGCTTTGTTCTCTTTCTTCCAGCGGTAAGCTAAAAGACCAGAGGGGCTTAGTTCAGACAAAAGCTCAGCAGATCGAACGAGAGAATGGAGAGACAGAGGTGCCTATACACAGAGAGAAATATATGACGAGGTACTAACTACTTCTGGGAGCAAATAATATGCATAAAAGCTTTACTATATCGAACAGTCTGGAGTGAACAATTAAGCTGCTGACTTAGAAACACATGTTAATAAATATTATATATTAACTTTTCGATCTTGTGCAAATCATTTGAAATGATGATAAAAACACATATAAAAGGCAAACTGGAACCTCTAGAACTAAGATATTTTCAGACAATATAAGTCAGCAACAGGTTTCTCTTTGATCTAAATGATAATTAATATTAATATCTGTGATTAAAATGCGCATTCTCTGAGTAAGTATGAATATGATAATGTGCAAAAGAAAGTCTGCAAAGTGTATGGCTAGAACAGCTGCTCCCAAGACGAAATATATATACAATATGTAAATATAAAACGCAAAGCTAATAGCAACAATATTTCCCCCTTATGGCACGATCAATAAACTACAGAAGAAAGGGGACTTTACTGGGTGGGACAGCTGGCAGTCATTTTACAATCACTTTTTCGTTGGCCCCACTCGCTGTTTCCCCTTTCTTTAGTTTTTTCACTCGATTCTAGATTACTGAGAAATCAGAAAATGACTCACCTGGGCTTTGGTAAATCCGTCCGGATTGCAGGTGGGCAGGAAGTGGATTTCAGTGCGATTTAGTAGCGCTTGGACCTCGGGATCCGCATCGTAGTGGCTGGCCAGGTATTCGGCCATGTAGAGGACTATCTGCCGACCCACGGCTTCATCGCCGCGGATATTGGCCACCAGTTTCACCATGGGCCTCAGGAGATCTCCGTTTTTGGACTCTCCAGTTGGTGCACTCAGGGCCAGGGCGTGCATAGGCCGATCCTCCAGGGATTTACCTATCGTATATGCCTGTGCCAAGTCGGGGTAATCCTTGGCCAGCTGACCGAAGAGTTCGCCGATCTCCTGGTTCTTCAGATAGTGGGGGTTCTCTAGGAAATTGTCCACTTCCTGGATCACTTGCACTTCACTAAATTCCCCGGCTGCATAGCCGAGGATCAGGATTAGGTAAACACTCCACATTTCTAGGGTTCTAGGTGAATTTCGAATGTTTTTCGGGTTTCTGTACACGTAGGCAGCCAAAAAAAAAAAGTAAAAACAAAAAATGCAGTCACCCCAGCTTCCCCGGGAAGTGGGTGCTTGAAACCAGAAAATCCGGATGCTAATATTAACTAAAATACACTTTCTTTGGCTGCCAGAGTGCAATTTTTCAAATTTCTGCCACAATTGTTGACGCGACACTCACACACACGCACCTACACCGTCACGCCGACGCTTACACCTCATGCACATTCGCACACAAGAGCCGCAGAATATTTCGCTTTCTTTTTAGCTCTCCGATTTGCGCACTGACTTTTCCCGACGGCCAACGGACATTTTCACGGTTATTTAAACATTGGGAAAAGCGTTTACATTTAATTCGCCGCGCGGCAATTAAAAATAACAAACTTTTGTGAATCGACGAAAGTACGCGAACGCGACCGCGACCGATGTTGCCACTACTGAACTGAGAGATCGCACGGCGTTGCCAGTGTGATATATGCTCAGCTGTCAGAAGGTCGGCGACATGCAAGCTGTCAGAAGGTAGGTGATATACAAGCTGTAAGAAGGTCAGCGATATTAAACCCAACGGTGGCAATTTCAAAATGATCGCATAAACTGTCAGGAAGCCATTGATATAAAACCAAACGGCAGCAAATTCAAACGGGAAAATGTTTACTTCTTACCTCCTTTAATTGGTTATAGCATCAAATAGGCTATGTAAAAGAAAGGTAGACTCTTACTTAAGGCTTAACTAACTTTTATTTTCTCTAGAATCAAACGGGCGAATCTCCAAGAGTGAAACGAACACAAGAATAACCAAAAACAGGTTGTCATTGTGTGTGTAGCTTAACATGTAATGTATGCTCGGATGTTCCGTTATTTAAAATGTGTCGTATCAAAAACTAGCTCAAAATACGATTATGTTAAGGCAAATTTTTGAAAAGTGCATTCAGACATTCCGGTTCGTCGTAAATTACGCTATTCATCCTACTCTAAAAGTCCGTGTGATGTGCTTTTCTATTTTACACTATGCTCTTAGTATCTGTTTTCAATACGAGTGATAATAAATTGATTCCATAACACACACACGCACAGAACACAGTGTAAAAATCGCAAAAGTGTGCTTAGAATTGAGTGTGGGTTTTCTTTCAGTGTATATATAAAGTATATAGGATTCGTTTTCGAGTCTAAATGCTTGGTGTGTGTTTTTGCGATATATAGTTACACAGTTGATTGCTTCAGATTGGTATCTATATAGTCCCTACTTTTCCGCCCCTTTGACACATTTTCCGCTCCTTATTGCCCATTTTCCAGGCAGGCTAATCAATAAGGCTCATGGATTATTCATGACACCCACTCTCTGCTCCGTCGAGGGCTTCTCTGGCTTTTTGCGACCCTTCTGGGAACTGGCTATCCGCTGCTTCAGAGTATGAAATGTCTGCTGCATGATCCGCATTTGGTAACGTATGGAGCTGCTGACGTCACGCTGCAGCTGCTGCACCTCGCAGATGTCCTTGCGCAGATTCTGGTACTCGTGGGTCACTTCGCTCATCGACTCGAGCAGCTCGAGCACCTCCATCTCGTCCATCTGCTCCATCGTCGTCTGTTCGAGGCTGCGCTCCACCGCATGGAGTTTGTGAGTCATCGTGTAAAGCTGCGAACCGGCATTGGCCACCTTGAAAAGGGAACGAGTTGGGTGTTATTTACATTGGCTTAGTTTGGGAATTGGCCAGGCCAATATATTAACTATAAAAATCAAAAGTACTTGTAGGGAATTTCCGTAGAAAATTTGAATAACAACTTCTCTTTCAACAGATAAACCAAATGTAAAACTTCGTTAAGAAAAGCCATAAATGAAAGGAATTAAAGGTTCGTTTTGTATCATTTAGCTATAGGATAATAGGGAATCCTTTTGCCTGTGGTGCTGTCTTTTAGGCGCCATGAAAATAGCCAGATGATTTATACTAATGGCTTGCCATGTAATTGACCCCTTTGGCACACATAAATTTTCCCTCACGGTACGCCGATTGTTAGGCAATTATATTGGTAAGTGGCTATTCATATTTTACTGGTCGATTAACTCACCGATTTTTCCAGAGCGCTAATGTCCTGGTAACCCGTCGTGGCCTCCATCTTTCCTAGATCCCAGAGCTTTGTTTAGCTTCAGCTTTCTGGCATGACAGACTGCACTAAATATAGGACTTTAATGTTGTTGCCAAAATCTAGGCGCCTCGACGGAAGCGCTGTCAGTCCACTCCAAGCTCTCCTAGCAGAGTGAGCGAGTCCAGCGGGTCGTACTGCTATTTATATGCTCCTGCACATATGTTGGTTTCCGCTTCCGCGAGAGAGCGAGAGAGAGAGAGTGAGAGGGAGAGGCAGTGTTGACGTTTGAGGACTAGTTATATTTACATACTTTGATTTGTTTAATTTTAAACTTTTTTTTATATTTATTTAGTATTTTGTGAAAAATATTAATATTTCACATATGAACATATTTTTTTCTTTCCAATTTTCATTCATTAAATTCATTTTGAACTCTGATTATTTTGGCATCTCTGCGGAAAGAGAAGAAAGGAGCGTCTTGGGTCCCATAGAAATTCAAAACAAACACAAAAAGAGAAAGCCAGGATTTGTGTGTGGCTCCTTGGATTACGTTTCACTGGGCGTAGGGAAAGTACTTTTAATTATGTTGACCAGGAAGCGGAAGTCCGAGCAGAAACTTTTCTGCCTTGGCGAAAAGCGAAATTGTTATTTCAATGGAACGAGAGCCTAAAAGTAGGTAGCACTATTTTCATTCACAATCTCATTGAAAGCGCTTTGGCGTTTTTTAGCGCATTCAGCAAATGGTCTTTGTTTACCGTTATGCTCACATTACATTCGAAAGTTTTCGGCAATAATAAATTGGTAACACTTATTACTTTATATTGTTTATAAATTTAATTAATTTACCTACAAAGTTACACTTACCTTTAGCTTCACTTATAGAAACGCCGGTTGGCACGTGCCTCATATATGTATGTATGTATGTTTTGTATTCATGGAAAAATACACAACGCCACTATATTTGATTTGGTTTCTCTGCGTGTTTATAAATACCAAACACAGTTCTTTTCCTCTCAGCACCGAATATCTTATGCACTTTCGAAGCGTTCTACAAAAAATAATAATAGTCGATTAATACAGTGAAAATATGGTTAAAAAACAGGCTTCTAATTTGTCACCAGTAAATTAAATAATACTGCGACAAAAACTGATAGCTGATATGCTTACCTTCCAATAGGGAAACGACTGGAAAGACAAACATCGCAAAACGAACTCACACGCATACACACACGTACCTAACGCGCCCCCAACGAATAGCCACAACTATACTGATAACAACAATAACAATCGGAACATAACAAAAACAACAGCTGTAGCGATAGGTTTTTAAAGGTGTGTAAGTTTAAATGTACATATGTATGTACGTATGTGTGCATGTGAGGAGCTATGGCCATTTGCTATCGTTAAGCACTTTTTGACGTGGTCTTCGCCTTCGTTCTCGCCGTCGTACCATCCAGTTTTTTAACTCGTATATCAACAATCACACCATCACACACCATCGCACAATATAGTCTATGTAGTGGCAATACAGGAACAACACACAGGCCCCCACATTGGCATCGAAAATCGGCGGCTGCGTTCAGTTCTAGTGGAACCACCGTTTGGAGAGCACGCGATCCCCGCCCCAATTCTTAACTGAATATCCTCAAGATGTCCCTAGTTCGTTTGATCGGCGCTGAGGTAAGTTTATTAACTTTTGAATTCCTGAATTTCCGATTAAGAACTGTTAGGCGCATTTTTAATCCCTATTTCCATCTCCCTCACACTGGAGAGATCTTTGAGTGTGAATGACACTCTCAATTTGCTCAATTAAACGGTCAAGTGTGGTTTGTGTGTATGGGTGGCCGTGAATTCGGCAATTGGCAATACACATGTAAATGAAAAATGCACTTTATCTGCCCATCTCACTCTCACTTTACTCAAATACGTATGTGGATCTAAAAGCTTTACAAGTGTGGGTGAGAAATCTCCAATTGACAACAACACATGTTACGTAAGGTTCCGCTACGAGCAGAAGAAGAAGAAGAAGAAACTATTCAAAGCAGATAAAGCAAAAAACAATTCTCATGGGGGATTTAGCGGTACAATGTTTGAACTGGTATAAAATCCAATAAAACGCGATAAGCGGTATTATTCCACGCCGGGCGAGCCATAAAAACACCTGTCTGCCAGATGGGCACTGATAAGAGTGGGCGTGGCGGTCCGCCCTCCCCCCGCGTACCCAACCTCATGGGGTTATCAACATCCAACAAATAAACCTCACCCCACCTAAAACGGAATTGTCCGAGGCGTTGAGGTTAGAATTGTTGGCACCCTGCGATTTGCATGGAAAATTAAGTCAAGTGCAACAAAGTACATTAAATTGTAAAAGCCTTTTATGTACATTTAATCTAAAAGAACAAAACTTACCTCAACATGGAGACACGGTCTGATTTCTAAAAGCGCTTTCTGTGGGCTAGGCCTTATGATTCTCAAGTGATAGTTCCGCGATTTGTGCATATAAATATCGCTTGTCCAAGACCACATTCGGCGGTCGAACGACTCACATGTCAAAGGTTGGCCACTTTCCTAACAAATTGGTTGGCACATTCTGGAATTGTAAATAAAACAGAACTTTTAGATTGTTAATAAAAATCAACACCAGATTGATGAGGAAATTGTACACTTACATATATTATAAACCTGTGAGGTGCGTTGGGAAGGAAAAAGGCTGTGGAGGGCCCCTCCTCCTTTCTGGTGATCGCTATTTTCTCAAAGTGTTTTTTTTTTAAGTTATATCTATTGTGTAACATCAGACTGCATTACTATATACAAAAATACATACTATATAATATATTTCGTCTCCAGGCCCGCCATATGGCGAAGAGGACCTACTCCTCGGCCGCTCCCACCACGAAGCTCTTCATCGACGGCAAGTTCGTGGAGTCGAAGACAACGGAGTGGATCGATGTGCACGACCCGGCCACCAACAAGGTGGTGACCCGTGTGCCCAAGGCCACCCAAGCAGAGATGCAGACAGCTCTTGAATCCAACAAGAAGGCCTTCCGCTCGTGGAGTAACCAGTCAATCCTGACCCGCCAGCAGGTGATGTTCAAGCTGCAGGCGCTGATCAAGGAGAACATGGGCGAGCTGGCCAAGAACATCACGAAGGAACAGGGCAAAACCTTGGCCGATGCCGAGGGCGACGTACTCCGTGGTCTCCAGGTAGTGGAACACTGCTGCAGCATCCCCTCCCTTCAAATGGGAGAGACAGTGGCCAATGTGGCCAAGGACATGGATACCTACTCACTGGTCCTGCCCCTCGGAGTGACCGCTGGCGTAGCTCCCTTTAATTTCCCAGCCATGATCCCGCTCTGGATGTTCCCTGTGGCCATTACCACTGGCAACACCATGCTGTTGAAGCCATCGGAGCGTGTGCCTGGTGCTACCATGCTGCTGATGGAGCTCCTTAATGAGGCCGGATGCCCTCCGGGTGTTGTCAATGTAATCCATGGCCAGCACGATGCTGTTAACTTCATCTGCGATGCTCCCGAAATTAAGGCAGTGTCCTTTGTGGGCTCTGACCAGGCTGGAAAGTACATTTACGAGAGAGCTGGTAAAAATGGCAAGCGGGTACAGTCCAACATGGGTGCCAAGAACCACGGTATCATCCTGGGCGATGCCAACAAGGAGAACACATTGAACCAGCTGGCAGGAGCCGCCTTCGGAGCTGCTGGACAGCGGTGCATGGCCTTGTCCACGGCTGTCTTTGTCGGCGATGCTCAGTCATGGATTCCCGATCTCGTAGTGCGCGCCCAGAAGCTGAAAGTGAATGCTGGCCACGTGCCCGGAACAGATGTGGGACCCGTGATCAGTGCCGCCTCCCGTCAACGCATCAATGACCTGATTGAGTCTGGAGTCAAGGAGGGAGCTAAGCTTATTTTGGATGGCAGGAAGATCAGCGTTCCCGGCTATGAGGATGGATACTTTGTTGGACCCACCATCCTGAGCGACGTGACGCCCAGCATGAAGTGCTACACCGAGGAAATCTTTGGCCCCGTGCTTGTCATCCTGAAGGCCGACACTTTGGACGATGCCATCGGTATTGTTAATGCCAATCCCTATGGCAATGGTACCGCTGTCTTCACCACCAATGGTGCAGCTGCCCGTAAATTCGTCAACGAAATCGATGCCGGCCAGGTGGGCGTGAATGTGCCCATTCCCGTGCCTCTGCCCATGTTCTCCTTCACCGGAACCCGTGGCTCTTTCCGCGGTGACCATCACTTCTACGGCAAGCAGGGCATTAAGTTCTACACCCAGACCAAGACAGTCACCCAGCTGTGGCGTGAGACGGATGTGACCCACACCCAGGCAGCCGTTGCCATGCCCACCATGAAGTAGGCGACTCTGGAGGAGATTTTACAGGAGATGATCCGGAGGAGATGTTCCACGTATTGAATTTCTGGATGCTTGCACACAGGACGTATTTAGAAGCTAGATACAAAGAAATTATTGCATTTATTTTTGTGCCTGTTTATTAGATTTAAGAAGATGTTTAGAGACAACAAGAGAAGCTTGAAAAAACTAAAATGTTATCAATAATAAAAACTTTGAAATTTAAATACTTCTTTAAATAATTAATGACCTGTCTTGTTGTTCACATTTTCTACTTTTTTAGTTAAAGATTCCTCTAATTTGCAGTTTTAAATATTGTAAATATTCACCTGGTCAGCCATAGATTTATCCTGAGTCCCGAAGAAAAGACATTCTTGATCTTTAACAATGGTCAATGGAGTCTATTTTACAAGGAAATAAAAACATTTGAACAATGAACACATAGCCCGGTAATTGTCGTTCCAGCAAAGCCACCACCAACTAGCGATGGGTCCACATCTAATCTTAAGTCCATCTAATCTAAAATACCGCATCCCCCACTTTAAGTCTGTTCAGTTTTGGCCGCCGAACGCCTGGCTGGCCACCAGTTCTCGAAAGACACCCTTGTTGATGCCCATTAGCTCATTGAAGGTGCCCTGCTCCACTATCTTTCCCTCGTTCAAGACGGCGATTTGATCCGCATTCCGGATTGTACTAAGTCGGTGGGCAATAGTCAGCACAGTGCGTCCCTGGACAAGATTATCCAAAGCATTTTGTACTAGGTTCTCCGAAACTGCGTCCAGCGCACTGGTGGCCTCATCTAGGATCAGGATGGCGGGGTTCTGGAAGGGTTACAATTTAGTTAAGTGAAGGAGAGTTCGGAAAGGAAAATCCATATTGGCCTCACCTTAATTAGCGCCCTGGCAATGGCCACTCGTTGCTTCTGCCCGCCACTTAGCATCATTCCTCGCTGGCCGACGAGCGTATCGAGGCCATCTGGCAGTTGATCTGTGAACTGGCTGACATTCGCCTCTTGAACAACCCGCTGCAGTTGCTCCTCGCTTGGGGTTTCGTCGGGATTAGCGCCGTAAAGGATGTTCTCTCGGATCGAGCATGAAAAGAGCACCGGCTCTTGACTGACAGCACCAATATTGTTTCGCAGCCACTGTGGATTCACCGTTCGCAGATCGATGCCGTCCAGCTGGACAGTGCCCGCTTGCGGATCATATAGCCGAAGCATAAGCAGAGCTATCGTTGTCTTTCCTGATCCTGAACGCCCCACCACTGCCGTTGTTTTTCCCGGCATCAGATTTAATGAGAAGTCGGAGAGCACAGTGGATTCTGGACGTCCGGGGAATGTAAAGTAGACGTTCTGAAATCCCACTTCGCCTATCGGTTTATCCACCGGCACAATACCCTTGTCAATGGGAATCGTACACTCCCGGTCTAGGATCTCCCAAATTCGTTCTGAAGCACCGATGCCCTTATTTAGCTGGCTATAGAAGTTGGACAACCCATTCATCGATATAGCCACATAGCCGGCGTACAGCATGAAGGCAGTCAGAGCTCCAATGGTTAGCGAGTCTTGCAAAACTAAGGTGCCTCCGTAATATAGCACTGATATAATGATAAAATTACCGCAGAAGCCAGTCTGGCAAAAAGATTTTAAGATTTCAAGTTAAATTTACGTAATTTGAATGCCTCACCAATCCAAAGAAAATGGCTCTGGCACGGGTCTCTTTGTAGCCAATCTGCAGAGCCTCGTTCAATTTGCCATCGAAGGCGGTCCCTTCTTGCTGTTCCCGGCAGAAGGTCTTCACTGTCTTGACATTGCCAAATCGCTCCTCCGCATACTTCATTATCTCAGCGTACTTGTCCAGTTCCGTTCTCGTGATACGCCTAACATACCGACCGTAGACAATGGCCATGCCCGCCATCGCAGGCACCACCAAGGCGCTCATTGCCGCCAATTGAGGTGAGGTGTATATCTAGGATAATTCACAACAGTTCGATATATGAGTCATATTATAAATTATTATATTGATGATCATACCATCATTCCCGTGCCGACGCCAATCATGGCCACAGATCGCAGGCCATCGGAGACGTTTTGGCTTAGTGAGATGCCCATCATGTATGTATCGTTGCTCAGTCGGTTGATCAGTTCGCCGGAGCCCTTAGTATCAAACCAGCCCACTTCCTGCATCAGCATGGAACGATAAATTCGGGATCTTAGGTTGCGCACTATGCGGAGAGCTGAAAGGACCAGGATTAGATCAATATCGAGAATATGCCAGCATTACTTACCGGCATTTCCAAACAGATGGACTCGGGCAAAGTTGGCGAAACCACCCAGCACAAAGATCCCGAAAAGCAGCGCAGAGTACTCGCCAAGCTTGCTTATAGCGGCACTATCGAGGCCGGATTTATTAAAGACCACATCTATAACTTTGCCGATAAACAGAGGAACCGACATGGTGATGGCCGACGAAACCACCAAACAACCAATGCCCGCTGGGGAAGAAGTAAGTTAGGACTCGCACGACGCTCTAAAGGTATAGGAATAGTAACCTGTCAGCACCCATTTCTCCGATTTGGTTAAGCTGATTAGGCGGCCATACTGGCTTCTGCCCATTTTCACCGGTGTGGACACGATTTTGGCTCCAACTGGAGGTGGAGCGCCTGTCTTGGCATTCCTGGCCAACCACTTGCTGCTCTGAGCGAAATCGCGACGCATGCACCACCACGGCATGCGGAGCGATTGGAGCGGGCGGTTCTGGTGGAGGTCCAGATGTGTCCTAGGTGTGCGTCGATGAAGGCACCTGCCCAAATAGTGGTTATATGATGTGGACGACCGGATTTGACTTATTTGCGAAACCCGGAGAGTCGCGCAGCCGTGTGTCAACCTTGCGCAATTCAACAGCATTGTGATTCCTGTCTCATTCAGAAAACTAACAAAAAACCAGGAGATTTTTAAATAAATTCGAATTAGAAAAAATAACAAAACGAATTTCCAACGGTATGTGTCTTCTTCTTCTATGGTGGACCACGATCAGCTGATCGGACAGAGATTTCGACATAGCTTGAAAAAAGTTAAACAATTGAAATATAGCTAAAAAGCTATAGGAATATTTTTAATTCAGATTTAAAACATAATGAACGAATGCATTGAGCCACAATATGATAAATATAATTTAATAAAATATTTCGTAATTAATCATATCTTATTTGATGTTTTTTAATCATTTATTATTATAAGTTACGGTGCCCCTCATCTCAGCTACAACTAGCCAGGTTTGGCTAGAAACAGCCGAAATCTCTAGCTGCTACACTCTGCGTTCACAACACTGGTCCGGCACACGTGAATTTGAACTTGGTTTTGGTATTAGCATTTAGATTCCACCTGGACGAGGCGAACATGGACACAGGCGAAGGTAAGTGCAGTGGAATAATCTTTTAAAGGACCAGAACAATAAAAACCTGTTTGTTATCTATTAGAGCTGATGTCCTGGCTGACGGAGCAGAGCAAACCGTATAATGCACGTGTTGATTTCGCCCTGAAGGTCTGGCAATCCGTGGAGTTTCCCTATCCCAACAAATATGAGATCATTGTCGAATGGCTGTCAAAATCTTTGCCCACATGCAAGGAGCCACCCATTCAGCAGCTAAAGGATTTCCTGCAACTGAAAGCGCAACCCGGCTGGGTCACTCAAAAGGTCAAAGAACAGCTAGTCCGCGCGCTGATTTTGATTTTCGCACGGCAAATAAGTGCAACTGAGGCAGTGCTGGAACTTCACCCCTTGGTTCTCAACTCGGAGCTGCTCCAGGATGTCCTAAGGTCAAGCAATGCACTTCTTACCGAATGCTATAGCAACCTGTTCGAATGCCACCGAAGATGTGTAGACCACCGAAAGGATGGAGATCTAAACCAAGAGCACTGGGATGCTGAGTTTATAGTCCCTGTTCTCAAGCAGCTGGCAGAGACTGCTCGCCGCCATCAGAACCCCGATAAGCTGCTAGAAGAGTACGAGTTAAGAGTAGTCAATCCACTAGTGGAGCTGCTCCTCGTCCTAAAATCTCCATACTTGGAAGAACTGGCCGAGTTGGAAAAGCAACTGAAGACGAAACCTCACGCTGAACGTTTCAAGGAACATCCGATTCATGTGTCCATGCTGTTATTAGAGGCTTCCATTCTAAATCATCGCCATGACTCTGGCAAACTGAAAAAAATCTTGATAGTGGCGTTTAAGTGTTGTTTCGAATTGGAGTCAATGTTTCCGTTAGCCTCCTACTTATTGATGTCACTGCGCAAGTACGATATATCCCTTCAGTTTAAAATGGGTAAGACATCCTTTACTGGCTTTACCTTCGTTGCCGAACAGCTGGTCCTTTTGGTGGGCAAATACAAGAAATCGCATCTAAAGGAGGTTTTGATACTACTGTGCTCGGCGTTGCGCTTTAATCCTCTCCTGTTGGAGCAGAGTGTCTACCAAATCACTGTTTGGATGCTTACGACTCCCAAACAAAGTTCTGAAGAGGAGGAGTTGTACTCGGAGTATCTGATCCTCCTGCTAGACATGTTCCGTCGCCTCAGTCGTGCAGAACGCTTCATCATGGATTTGTTGAAGGCTCTTAAGGAGTGGCTGGGAAAGTACTTACTGCATGATTTCCATAGCGAAGCCAAAAAGCGGCGACTACAGGACTCGAAGGTTGAGATTGCTGATGAGAAGGAGAAGGAGCAGGAGCGCTTTTTAAGTATAATCTTTACCAGAAATCCCATAAGTACAGCTGCCACTGCAAATGATGCCTTTAAGCAGCTGTCCCAAACCTGGCCAAGTCACTCCGCAGGTGTGGCCTTCAGTCGCCTAGTAAGCAACCTGATGACCAAACCCTCGCTGGTAATTTGGAAGACTCTGTTGCATTCATTTGTAGAACTTCTAAAGGAGGATAAACCGCAAGGAGTGCGGGCCGAAAATCTGGACTTTTCTCGTGAACTGCATGCTGCGTTGCTCTGTCAGTATTTAAACGGCACAAGACTAGCGGAGCAAGTGCATCTTTATCAGGTGCAAGTGGAGCAGCAACTGCAGCAGACTTCAGAAGTGCTGGAGCAGTTTGGACAGCTATTACTCCGCCAGGAGCACAATCGTCGGCTTATGAATGCTTTTCTGGAGTGCACGGAGAAGGCCAGTGGCTTCGAACTGCTCCTTAAGCACTACTGGCCAGATGGTTTCCCCGCCAGCGAACGGCCATTGCAACTGAGGGGCTTCCTGCCTACCACTGGGTGGACCCTGATCCAACAGAGGGTGCACAATTTCGGCAAGAGCTCCTGCCGACACCGATTGCAGCGCTTGGAGGTACAGTTGGCCGAGAGTGGTTGGTTGCTCCAAGATCAAAGAAGAGCTAATTGCTCTGATGCACTGGCAGAGTTGGTGGAACCCCATCAAATCTTTCGGCTTACAAGGCCACAGAAGCAGCTTCGTTTGCATCATAGGACGCACGATCCGGACAAGGATTCGTGTCTGGAGGATTCGGAGTTCGTGGAACTAGTCACCATCCAGCTGCTTAAGGATTTTATAGCAATTGTAAAAGAGGCTAAGATCAAGGGCTCACTATTGGTAAAACTGAAATTGGAGGAGCAGGTGGAGGAGGCTTCCTTGGCAAGTTTTCTAAGGGAGAATGCCTCGACTGATAAGGAGCTGCCTTTGCCTTTGGCCCAGGAGCTGGTGGAGTCACTGCATCGCTTACCACTGGCTCAGTTAGCCAGTAACATTCGCTCTCGGCTTTGGTTGGTGATCTGTGTTTTGTACAGAGACCTCAGTCATAGCCAGCAGAAGGAGGAGGCCAATCAAGTACTGGAACTACTGATAGGTAAGGGTCTAGTAATGAATCCCTAAAACGTATTAAATAATCATTTTGCGTTGCAGATCTTATGCACTTCGGTCATCCGCTGCCCGTATGCACTTACTTTCCCCAGCTGAGCGAACTACTAAACCTAATCCCCACCAGCACGACGACCGGATGGAGGTTCTACGAAGCACTCTTTGGCCGCTGCATTCGTCGTCAGAGTGCCGGCAGTGAGGCATTCCTTACAAGCTGCACTGAGTACCTTAAGGATCAACTGGTTGCCACCAAAAAGTTGAAAACGGAGCAGTGTCGCTTCTTGTTGCTGGCCATCGAAACTCTTTCCAGTGTGACTGGCGTTCAGGGCAGACGGCTGCAGCGCCAACTGCAGCCACTTCTCGAGATCTATGGCCAAATGGTAGCCCACAAATTTCGCTCCAAAAAGGATCCATCGGCATACAAGGAGTTCGTGGATACCACTCTAGCCGGATTTGCAATCTATGTCAGCAGCTGCATCAATCGCGTGGCCAGGCAGGAGAGGGAAAAGGAGCAGGCTGATAAGAAAAAGGAGCAAACGGAAGCAGAGGAACCACAGGGGGAGCAGGAACTGGAAAAAAAGAAGAAAAAGAAAAAGAATAAGAAGGAAAATGATGAAGAGGAGGAGGATAACAAGAAGGAGGAGGAGCCGGAACTAATAGATGAGAACTTCCGACGCATTTGCAAGATTTTCATCGGTAACTCGGTGAGTTTATTTTCCTAATAAAAAATAAAATCTAATACGCCAATCTTCACCAGCTTAACTATCGCAATTCCCATGCTATTCGCCTGCTGAATGTGGCCCTTACCCATCGTGAGAGATTACATTTGGAACCAGTTGAGATCGAGTTCGTATTGAGCAGCTATTGGCGGCAACTGAATACGGATATTGAGGCGGGAGACATCTCCTCCAGTTCGGTGTTGGATTGTGTGGAGCCCGCCATCAAGCTGATCATTGGCTACAGGACCAACGAGGATTTTCTGCTACTCCTGCGTAGCTTGTCTTCCCAAGTGGAGCAGATGCCACGTCCCGAGTCACCCGCCCAGCACATAGCACTCCAGAATGTGCTCACCTTGTTGGCCCTCTTTTCCAAATGCTCGCTGAGCAACGTGAAAGGAGCGGTAAGTGTTCATCGGTGGCGGAAACGTATTCCTTAGTTAATAATTTTTTTCTTAGATGCTCAACGAGCACTTTGAGATGATCAGCGTGAGTGTGGCTCTGCGTCTTCCGGAACCCAAGGATCCAGCATATCGTGGCCACGCCCTGCGACTGCTGGAGGCCCAGCGCAATCTTGCCGGAAATCGCACAGTTCCTCTTACAGGAGAGACTTTGGATTGCCTGTTAGGCAGCATGTTGGATGTGGACATCAAGCACTTGATCAGGCATGGTGGCAGTTGGCAGGACTTCGTCGATCTGTACGGAGCAATAACGGAAAACTTGGTGGTGCTGCTGAAACAGCATAGCAATCTGATGTCCGACCGGGCTGCCCAGATGAGTGCTCTGTGCCAGGATCTCGTCCAGGCCGTCATTGGTTATCGGGCGGAGCGAAAACAGACGCAGGATATAAACGAATCGGAGCTTGATGGTTTGGCTGATTTGGGTCTTAAGTTGGCCACTGTAATGGCCACCGTGGCCACGACTCAGGCTTTGGCCGTGAAACGAGTGGCGCCGTTCCTGCTTATCTTCACCATCCGCCAGATGGTGGCTACCGAAAGGCCCACCACGCTGTTCGAAAAGGTGCGTATCAAGATGATATTATAATTAACATTTTATGGGCAAGAATATTTATTAAGTTTTTAACAATTAGTTAAACTAACTTTCGTATTATACTAAAAGTACTTTTAACTTTATTTTAATGAGGAATACATTTGGCATTTTGATGAACACATGTTTTCAGACTTATCGTGACTAACACTATGTTTTTTCTATCCAGGTTAAGGTCCATATCGTACGCGTATGCCACGAGCTAATCGGAATTTGCGATCACCGAGCCGGACACTTTATCCTGCGCTCAAGCAGCGAGGCGGGCGCTAGGATGTACGAGGGATTAGTAAAGGAGCACGAAAAGTACCACAAATTCAGGGGCAAGGTGTAGAGAATGGAAAGCGGAACACACCTCGCCTTTTTTTACTTTTCTGTATTTCTGTTAATTCCCATCTCTTCAAAATATATATAACATATATAAAAAAAACTGTCCTATGTACTTAGACATTTGCCAAATTTGTACTGATTCAGAACTTAAAACTTGTGTGTTTGATTGTGTGTGAAAATGGCTTGAAGATGGTATAAGGTGCTTCCGAGACTGTTGATTTTGCTAGGAGAAAAACATCTGACATCGGTCGCATAACGGATCTTCGGCTTCATGGGGACGATTGCCACTGAAAGTGAAAGGGATGCGATTAATGACCGCAAAGAATTGTTCCAAGTTTTAAGCTAAAACTCACAATAAGGTCACACAGCTTCGGCATATGAATTTCGAGCATTCCCCACAGGAATATCCACACTCCTCACAGAGATCCATGGTGCAGTTCGAGCAGACGTCGTGTATGAGGCTTTGGCGCTGGCAACATCGGGACTTCCGGCGCTCCAGGCGCGGATTGGACGCGTCGGCTTGAAGGTTGCGCACTATGATAGTTCCATCTCCGAACAGCATGTACTGGTCACATAGGGCGGGCTGCTCCTGTCCTTGACCAAGTTCGTTCGAGGAGTTCTGACCTTGTCCACTGCTGGCTGCACCGTCGAAAAGCATTTTGGTTGTTTTGTCTGGGGAAATGGTTATAGGTCTTGATTTAAGTGCACGTGGGTATCCTATGTTAGTTGCAGCGGTTAAGGGACTACTTTTTACCTTTTTTGCTAAAGTTGAAAATAAGAATTGAGTTTAGTCGACCTACAATTTTGTGGAAACTGAAAACAATTTTGGGTTTGCTGTTTAAGCCTACTACGATTGTTGGGAAAATAATCGCACGCCACTAAGCTTGCAGGAAATTGTAAAACGGAAAAGGAAAGTAAGGCAGCCCCTTAAAGTATCGCCTGATTTAGTTCCCCTATTTCCCTTAGAGCCCTTTTTTCGATATCGGTTTTGCGTTAGTATATTATATATCCTAAATATCCCATATCTTACTAATTAAATTCTATATAATTCACATTGTTTAGAAATGCATTTCACATTGTTTTGGCAAAAATTAAGATCGACCAAATCCATCTTGGATTTTCTTAAAATATATTTTTGGAAATTTTGCAAATGGAAATTAAAAAATAAAATAATTGATATTTCAATAACTGGCAATAGGACAGCCAAAACAAATCGCTAAGCTAAAAGACCGCCTTTTTTGTGCGGTTAACACTAAGCGGTATGGCAAGACCATGATCGTAAACCCATTATTGGCGCCCATGGGCGCTGGAAGTCGTTATTTCATATGGGGGATAATAATGAAAAAACATAGGATTCTGTACTCACCGTGGATTTCCTTCATTTTCTGCGGATCACGAGAGTCACTCATTTTTTGGTTCAAATAAACTTTCCGCTGGGTGGGATTGTTGTTGGCATCGTCGTCATCCGCGGATCGCGATCTCTTTGTCGCCGTTTTCTGAACACTGGTTTCCATAGTTTCGCACTGGGATGGACGGATCGAATGATGCTGAAGCGGATCTGCTTTTCCAATTTTCTTAGCTTTTAGTTTAAAACTAATGCAACTTTTTGTCCCGTTCTTCCGAAAATACCCTAAAACAAGAGTGCTACCATATTACAGATATCCGTTACCGATATATGGCCGATACATCTATCGATTATCGAACTAAATCAATTTGGCGGAAACTTTAAAAAGCTGCGATACCAACAAATTTGGAAACAAGGGCTTAGTTTTTGTTCTTTATTTGTGGAAGTGGACAAAACCTACAACGAAATAGAATGACATTCAACCATCGCATGCTTAACCCAGTTGAGATTCAAATTTTCGAATTTTTTTCGCCAGCTTGATTTTGCTTCTTGGCCTTAATTTATAAATTATTTCGGAGGTTTTGTTCCAATTTCCAAATAGTAGCAGTTACTCTAATCTCTACTTCTTGCGTGAAGATCGGGGCTTCCTTTGAAGCCGTGAGGAGCGAACCAGGTCTTCCGATTGGGAGTCCTCCATCTGTTCGCCGGACTTCGGAATGATCTTCTTGAGAGATGAAGTCGAACTAGAGGAGGCGGACTCGGCGGCTGCTTTCTTAGCAGCCAAACGGCGCTGGGCAGCCGCTTCCCTTTCCTGACGAATTATCGCCAACCTGGCCAAGTCAGCCACCGTCTCCTTGCTCTTCTGCATATTCTCGTATTGCATCCTCTCCCTCTTCCTTTCGTTTCGCCTCTTCATCTCGCCTTCATCATCGTCCGGGGAAAGTTGCTCCTGCCCCGCCATGGTTATCAAAAGGCTCTTATGTTTCTCCCGCGGCATGCGATTCGGATTGGATATCTCGATCAGGCTATGGACACCACGGTTGCGAAAGAACTTATCGTCGGAATCCGTCTTTGGGTGGCTCCGTACCGGGATCTTCTTATCCTCGTCTTGGCGCAGACGTTCCGGCTCCATCTGCAATATCTCTGCCGGAGTGAACTGACGAGTGCGCCCCTTATGATTAACGTACTTTCCACGTGGCATGATTCAGGCTATCCTAGTATTCCTCAGATTCTTATCTTGTGCGTGTTTCCTAAGGAAGAAAGTGCAGCTGGAAAAGCATTAAGGGTTTTGATACCAAGCAGAAAAACTACTAAAAAGTCTCACCTCAAATATAAAATCCGTGAAAAAAATGAATAGAAAAATAGAGAAATATTTTCCGTGTTCCCTAATGTGTGGCTTGTTAGGTACAGAATAACTATTTAGTTTTGGCTTAGGTAGAAAATAATGTGCCTACTAAGTTTTCAACGATTTAACTTTTCAAACGACATGATTCTTTTTAGCTATAAGTATTTCTATATAAATTAATTTCATTTTATGTGCAAGTCAATTCAATAGAAACATTTACTGAATTGTTTTGAATTACGCGGTGTATTTTGATTAAATATTTAAATTGTTTTTTAAAAGCTTAGGGAAAGTGTGGCCATGCCTAGATGTAAATAATATATAGTACTACCGCATTTTAAAAATACTTGTCAGTGTTCGGTATACCGATAACCGATAGTGAATCTATATCGATTTATATACATATATATATAACTATAGTACAATAAACTATAGTTTCGCACACAAAGAAAACCATGAAATTACTGGACGCCGAGTGCTGATGCGATCGAAATCAGAACCGCGGGCAAGCGGAGCACATAGTGACCCCCACATCCAGATCAGAAGAACCCAGGAGGATCGCACAGGACAGGGAAAATGGTGAGCGGTGGCTCCTGGCCAAACCCACTTTTCGTTGTGTGATTCAGAATGATTCCACCTAACCGGGAATTTCGTTTTTTACCCTGCACTTTCCCCGCAGCACGCCGCATCCATGACGACGGTGGAGGGCCTGCTGCAGGAGTTTTATCAGCCCAGTACTTCCAATGCCCGGAAACGAGAGATCGAAACAAATCTTCTGGCTTTCAAGTCTCAGCCTGAGGCATGGCAACTTTGTCTCCGTGTGGCCACTGCGTCCGATATCACCGAGAATCAGTTCTTGTGGTTCTTCAGCACCTCAACCTTGGAGCACACAATCACGCGGAGATGGACGCAGTTGACGACCACGGACAAGACTTTGCTACGGGAAGCGCTTTGGAACTCTTATGCCCAACTGGGAAGCACTCCAAATGCAGCCAAACGACACAGGGACACATTGGCGCAATTGATAGCGCTGCTCGGGAAGAGGGAGTTCCCCGAACAGGACCCAAACTATATGCAGCACTGCATGGAACTGACGAAAACCCGGTTTCAGCTGGGCATCAACCTGCTTAGGATTACCTCTGAGGAGGTGGTAAGCAACCGCGGCGATCTGACCACCGAATGGAAGCAGTACTTCTACTCCTGGTGAGTAAACAAAACCAGAATGCCATAGCTGTGTTTTGCATGCGGTCTATATATATATGCTTTTCTTATCAGAAATCTGCATTTGGAATTAACTTTTCCTTTCTGTTCTGAACCAGTTTTAAACGTTTTTCTGAAAGACGTACACTAGTCCTATCTAATATATATTATTATATATATATTTTTAGACCCACATATTGTCCATATCTTATTTAAACAAAACCCCTGACCTTATCAGACGTTATGCATGTTCTTTCGCTATCATCCACGTTCTTTCCTGGCGGGAACCCAAACATGGTACCCTCACTTAACCCTCTATGTAAATCAGCATTCTTATGGATTTCTTATCTGAAATTCGAAATATTGGTTTTGTTTTACCCTTGGCTTAACCCTTTCCTTAATCAATAAAAGCAATTCTTTTTTCGTATACTTTCCCTTCTTATTTTTGGCTTTCTTATCATTTTGTAATCAGTAGTTTTGTTAGTGCTTTTTGTTTTCGCTGCGATATTTATATTTAGTGTTAGTGTAGCTATTGTTATTTATAAATTAAGTTAGATGCTTACCTAAAATTCAGCACAAGCAATTAACAAAATCACACAATCACTTGGATTACGAATTATTTTTTAATGAAGAAACTCTTGACAAACTTTTGTGATAGAAAAATGGTTTCAAAATCATAGCTTACTAAGGTTTTCACTTTTTACTTTTGCAAATATATTAAAATTCTGTGTTTTTGTTCATCATTTGAAATGGAAATTGAATGAGCTCGGACTAAATAGTGGAGGTTTTGTCACAGCACTGTTCCTAATCCTTTCCCGCTTTATGTTCCCGTGTGCCGTGTGTTTCTGTAGCATCTCCATGTGTATACCCGATGTCCTGGACCTGGTCACCAAGTATCTACTAATCGCTGTGTGCCACATCAATGGCAAAGACATCCAAACGACCATACCAAACACCCTCTTGGACTTTAGTCTAACCTCAGCGCTGCCAAATGACAATCAATTAAGGTGGGTCATCATCAATTTTGAAGTACCATTATATCCTTTTAGAGTTCCCTTCAGTAATTAATGTTTTCTTGCATACAGTTCCTCAATTTTGGAGCTGCTCGGCTGTGTGCAGCATTTGGTCTCCTGGATACGCACTGAACTGATCTCGGAGTACTTCCTCATGAGCATACTCGACCTCTCCCAGTGGCGACCCACCCACGAACTCATCTCACTGGCAGCTCTATCCGTGCTAAATGAGCTCCTCTACCTGCAGAAGCCATTACCTTTTGCGGGCACATTGATGGGCGGCGTTAGCAGTCTCCTGGAGCAGCACAATAACAATCGGCGGCAGAGCGAAATGTACAGCGACAAGTTCCGGGAGCTGCTGCGTCTCTACACAACCAAGTATGCCGGCAAGCTGATGCAGGAGCCGGAGCTGCTAGAAACCTTCCTCAATCTGCTATACGGCTGCACCACAGAATGTGAGTCGCATGGTAAAAGTGTTGCTTGTCCTTTCAAGTGGCTCGTCAGAGAAATAACTGAGATTTGTGCTTTTCCCAAACCTCTTCTGAGGTCAACCTTCAGAGATTTCTGTGACACAAGAATTCGAAAGAACTTAAGCCTATTTATTAATTTTATGTTGTATCTAGTACATGGCGCCTTGGACTTCACCGAAAAGCTGGAGATCTGGACACCAATTATCAAGGGCATCGCCCAACAGCCCGCCAAAATTACGCGCTTCAACAACGTGCTCACCCAGCTGGTGGATGAGATCATGCGGCGCACTCAATTCGAGGCCAATAAACCCGAACTGGAGGTGCTGGACAACGAGCTTATGGAGGACGATGTGAGTGGTTTCGAGTTTTTAGGCCTTGTTTGGATCGCTTCGAGGTCTTTGTGTGTTGAATTAGAGAAAGTTGTATGCCAAAGATGGTGTACAGTTTCCATTTGGATAGGTGACCACTAGAGGTTCTGTTTGTAAACTTCCTACACTGTTTGCTACATACTTAGATTTAAAGGTTATGCATTTTCACTAACTAGGCTAAATCATCGTTTGGGAACCAGGGATCTAGTCTATACACATCCTATATTATTTATGTAATCCTATAATGAAGTCAGATTGTGGTATGGGAAGCTTACATACCTTGAAACAACCAAAGATCAGTTACAAAAAATGGTTTTCCAGTTAGTTTTAACTGTTCGAACTGATAGAAGTAGTATCCAATTAGAAAATTAGTCCTATCAGAATGTAAATATGTCCAATTGCTATATAACATTTATCTATTCTAACTAGAAAGGCAAAGATAATTGTGGAAATTTAAATAAACTCAATTGTTACATATTTCAGACCTCCGCCACAGAGTGGCAGCAGTTCCTGGACCAATGCTTTGAGTCCCTGGCCCTTCTGGCCAACACCCGAGGTGCCCACATCGTCTTCGCACAAGTCTATAACCACTGGTCAAGGCCGCAGATGTATTTGCTTTCGCTGGAGCACGCCCTGGATCATGGAAGTGCGCGCAGCTATGAGGCGGCACGTAAACTCAAGGGCGCCAATGTGGGTGAGATACTGCGTGACTTTGCCACAGTCTGCCAGGCTGTGGTTCGTCTGGCCCCGTTGATGGACACCTCATCGGCGGCGCCCGGTGTGGCGGATGAGATGGAGTGTCAGCTGCAGATGCTTTCTGACAGTTTGTTGCAGACTCTGCAGCTGCTCGCGAGCAATCGCCTGGCAAGCGGCGGTAGCGAAATGGACAAGGCCACGTTCCAGACTGATTTGGATAACCTGTGAGTAGAGATGACTGTTTCTTTGTATATGTTGTATTTATATGCCCCATCTTCCAGATACGCTCAAGTTCTGCTGGCCATTAGGAGTATATTTCCGTTAACAAAAGCCATGAGCGGCGAGGAGCTGTTGCACCGCCTGTTTGCCATCTTGGGCAGCATCTTTGCCTGCAACGGATCCCTGTCGGCTGCCTCGCCCATAGTGCAACAGGCGGCCAGTGAGCTGCTGCTCTTCATCTCGACTGTGATACGGCCCAAGTGCCTGCTGGATATACCACAAATACAGAGTTTGCTGCAGGCGGGTTCTCGCCTCGGCGCCCAACTGCCACGCCAGGTGTGCATCAATGTGCACATTAGCCTCGTTAGCTACATGGTGCTGCCGTGGAAGTGTGTCCCGGAGCAGCAGCAGGACTATCAACGCCGCCTATGGATGTTGCGCGAATATGTTCAGGGGCTGGCGCAGAATTTCCTGGATCTGGATTTGGGCCAGGCCAACGAGACAAAAGTAGCAGCCACCACGCTCAGTCTCCTGGGCACTTTTACGGCTCTCATCGAGTATTTTAAGGCTACTGGAGGCAATGCCAAGGATATGCTGGCGATGACTTTTAAGGTGCCTAATTTTATTTTTGATAAACATGAATATCGGAACTTAACACTTTGGACATTTTGCCTTGCAGCCCATTTTGACCAAGGCCCTCATGATCTTCAACAGCTTCGGCCTGAGCAGCATTGCCATGGCAATCACCGTGGCCGAGTTTAGTTTGAGCATGCTCCGCACATTGCCCACCCATCTGGGGGCACACTTCATCAAGGAGATGGTCACTTTGTTTATCAGTGTCAGCAGCAGGTAGGTCATCTGTCTCTTTTTTTGTCGTGTGTCCATGTGTGATAGTCAACTAATATCTCTGTCTCTTTCTGTTTCCCAGGGAGCAACTGACTCTGAGCCGACTGGCCGTGATGGAAAAGATACTGCAGATGTTCAAGCTGATTGTGGAGCAGCCGGGCAGCGCTTCCTTGGGCTTGCTGCCCTCCATTCTGGACTTTAGCACCCAACAGATTCTGCCATTGCTGCAGCAGCAAAATGCAGCCACTGACAATAGCGAGATCACCAGCCTGCTCTACGCTTTGTTCGACAGGTGAGGAGATTACTTATTTCGTCTAGGCAAATAATCTAATATAACGATGGATTCCTCTTCAGTGTGCTCACCTGCAAGTGGCAGTTCTTCTACAAAAATCAGATCACCAATGGTCACAGTGGCGGTGGCTCCGGCAACTTCAACTGCAGCGACAACCTACATCCGGCTCACTTCATGTCCATCCTAAATGCATATGGCCAGATGTTGGTCAGCGGCACGGATCCCAGCAATGTGCGCAGCGTTCTCTTCTCCATGCAGAATGTGAACGAGCGGAGCCGGCTGTATCAACGTGCCCTATTCAAGGACCAGCTGCTGGCCTCCTTTCAGCGGGCTTTGCTCAACCTGCTGCTAAGCGGGGAGGGCTCCCTGCACTTCGACATGATTGCCCAGGCCTTGTACGCGATGGGTCAGGTGGACCGACGCCAGTTGCTCGAGAGCTTTGCCCACGCCTCTTTACCGGTGTCGCAGACGGCGCTGGAGGAGATCTGCCAGACAAGTGTGAGTAAAATACTGAATATTAAGAGATCAAAACCACTTGCAATGCCACATTCTCTTTTCTCTGACCAGGACATTCCAACGTTTACGCAGAAACTCACGCAGCTCATGCAGGACGCCCACTGCGTGCATCTCAATGAGACGGCGTAAGCCCTATCCCGTTTTCCTGCTACCCTGAACCCCGGGAAATCCACTGCCCCCATCCTCGCCCATTTTTTTTAAAGATCGCGTCCTTTAGAGTGCTTGCATGTAAATAAGATACCTAATTGTTTTATGTTTTGTAACTTTTATATGTACTTTGCTGTCGCTTCTTAAATGCCATATTTTTTTCCGTGACTCTTGTGTCATTTTGCTCAGAACCGTTATCCTGTGTCCCACGTCCCTCCATCTGTATTGTAACCTAATCCCCACCAGATTGCGTTTGGATCTTTCTTTTGTGCGAGGTTGTGTTTCTGATTATGTAAATCGAACAGCATTCATGCCGATTGATAAAAGACATTAATTGTTAATTGAGAACAGAAAATTATTATGTTTAATTTTATCTTTACCACTTAACATACATACATACATACATACGATTACTCTGCTTTCTGTGCTGTCACCGCAAATCGATAAAAGTCATACCTATATCTTAGTAGCATTAATACATAAATATACATACATTAATTAGCATATATCAATATGTAAATCAGTTACGTCATAAGCAAGTAAAGAGTATCAAGTAAAACCGGGAAGGAGACGAAAGCCCAGACACAATTTCATGTAATTTATTCTGCGAAAAAAAAAAAACACCAACACCAACACACACACACACTCAAATCCAAGTCGTTGTAATGATTTGAATTTTAATTGCCTAAGTCCCTTCAATCAAAAATTCAATAAAAACTATTTTTACCATTTTAATAGATGGATCTTTGGATATTGGCGGTGCATTGAATGCATTTCTATAAGTAATAATTATTAAATTAAGTTTTTTCAATTCTATGTTAAGGCATTCCCATTGGTATTTAATAACTGTACTTGAAGCAGTTCTCTGCCTTTGCAATTGTGCTCTCTCTTATTCTAAGTTTCTCTCAATTTCCCCTCCCTCTCCTAAAAGCCATAGTTTTTGGTGGGTTTAGAGGCTGCCCACTTGGAATTTTGGAGACTTTTTTTTTGGAACTTGCAGTTTTAACTCTCCCAACCTGACGCATCGCTCATTAGAATTTGGCGTTTGATGGGGTCAGTTCGCGCGCATCGTGGCGCTTAAATTCGGAGTGGTTGTTTTTGATTTTGCAAACTGTGATCTTGTGGGTAACTGTAAAGAGTGAGAGTGTTTGTGTGCCTAAGTGCGCGGAGGCTTTATTTGAGTGCAGATAGCGGCGCTGGTGTTGTAAAGTTGATTTTACAAACTGAGGGCTGCCGTAACCTAAAAATGTGATTTTTTTGCAGGGAGACTATACACGTGCATGTGAATGGATAGGCTTACGGGCATACATATGTATGTGTGGATGTATGTAAATAAAAAGGAAGGTAAGTTACCACGCTTTGAACACGCGCACAAATAATCCAATTGCAAATAAAAATAAATAGAAATGAGGATCACTCGAAACAACAATCGACCAGGATGGCGATGAATGAGCGGGTGGACGAGGATCATAAAAACGACAGCTTCCTTTCCATTGTCTGTGGCTCACATATTTTACTCGCCTTTCCCTTTTTGCATACCTATGCTCAGGTGTCGAGGACAAAAGCGCCGAAATTGAATTTAATGAAAAGCGAAAGCGAAAGCAAAACAGAGAAAAATGATGAGGAAGAGCAAGAGGAAGAGAGGCGAGGTTCACCCACTTCCGTTTGGCAGCAGGTAAGTGCTAGCAGGTAGTCGAACTTCCACTGGCTTCTTTGCATATTCCCGATCCTGGCTCCGGGCATCCTGAGCACTTCCGCAGGATGCGGGTGGGTTGAAGGGCCAGTGGAGGCACTATTCAAATTCACTTTTTCTGTAAGGATATATAATCTGATTTCTACTATAAGTATTAAGAAATATTCCCTTAAGTGATTCGAAATTCAACTAACTTAATGTTGGAAATTCGTACTATCTTCATTATTATGAAAGGTACTTCCTGAATTTTCGTGATACAAGCTTATTTTGAAGAAGATAGGATAGGTAGGAGGAATAGTTCTGAGTTAAAGGTGGAAAATTTAAATAGTTGTGTGAGAATAAAAGTTTTGTCGGAAAGGGAAAAAAAGTGAAGGAAAAGCACTCGAAAATAAAGGTTAATGGAAACATTTCGGTTAATGTAATATCAAACTACCTTAATCCGCGGACTGTGACATATCTGCACTAATGACCGACTGAACGGATCCACCAAGACAAGACCGCAATGACGCAGTGCAGCAACGGGTTAGTTCCAAAGGTTCCATCGCCTCCAAGCGAGTACGTGACTTGGATTTGGTTTGCTAATTTGTGGAACTGAGAATGGGAATCGGAATAGAATACGCTTGACTTCAGCCAGTGGCCTCCAGGCCCTTGGAACCGTATAAAGCGTTGGACTTGGACGACGGCTATCCACAGTTGAGTGCTGGCGGCTGAAATAGCAACAGTGCCATCTTGAGAAGACAAAAGGGAGTTGCATCAGAGGATCAGGGATCAGGAATCAAGAGCAAGGAGCAACCATGGCAGTGGAAACGGTGCAGGAGACGCTGCAACAGGCGGCCAGTTCGTCGTCGGTGTTGGGATTCAGTCCCATGTTGACCACCTTGGTGGGCACCCTGGTGGCCATGGCCCTGTATGAGTACTGGCGCAGGAATAGCCGGGAATACCGCATGGTGGCCAACATCCCATCGCCGCCGGAGTTGCCCATTTTGGGACAAGCTCATGTGGCCGCCGGTTTGAGCAATGCCGAGATCCTCGCCGTTGGCTTGGGCTATCTCAACAAGTACGGTGAAACGATGAAGGCCTGGCTGGGCAATGTTCTCCTGGTGTTCCTCACTAATCCCAGTGATATCGAGCTTATCCTGAGTGGTCACCAGCACTTGACAAAGGCCGAGGAATATCGCTACTTCAAACCCTGGTTCGGTGATGGTCTGCTGATCAGCAATGGACACCACTGGCGTCACCATCGCAAGATGATTGCCCCCACTTTCCACCAGAGCATCCTGAAGAGCTTTGTGCCAACTTTCGTTGACCACTCCAAGTCGGTGGTAGCCAGGATGGGATTGGAGGCCGGCAAGTCTTTCGATGTACATGACTATATGTCCCAGACCACCGTCGACATCCTCCTGTCCACCGCCATGGGCGTGAAGAAGTTGCCGGAGGGCAACAAGAGCTTCGAATATGCCCAGGCTGTCGTCGACATGTGCGACATCATTCACAAGAGGCAGGTTAAGTTGCTGTACCGTCTTGACTCCATCTACAAGTTTACCAAGCTGCGTGAGAAGGGAGATCGCATGATGAACATCATCTTGGGCATGACCAGCAAGGTGGTCAAGGACCGCAAGGAGAACTTCCTGGAGGAGTCAAGGGCTATTGTCGAGGAGATCGCAACTCCAGTTGCCAGCAGCCCCGCCTCCAAAAAGGAGGGTCTGCGCGATGATCTGGATGATATCGATGAGAACGATGTGGGTGCCAAGAGGCGTTTGGCTCTTCTGGATGCCATGGTGGAGATGGCCAAGAACCCCGACATTGAGTGGAACGAGAAGGACATCATGGATGAGGTGAACACCATTATGTTCGAGGGTCACGATACCACTTCGGCCGGATCCAGTTTTGCCCTCTGCATGATGGGCATCCACAAGGACATCCAGGCCAAGGTCTTTGCAGAACAGAAGGCCATCTTCGGAGATAATATGCTGAGGGATTGCACCTTTGCCGACACCATGGAGATGAAATATCTGGAGCGCGTGATCCTGGAGACCCTTAGGTTGTACCCTCCAGTACCTTTGATTGCCAGGCGTCTGGACTACGACCTCAAGTTGGCCAGTGGTCCGTACACGGTGCCCAAGGGAACCACCGTTATCGTGCTGCAGTACTGCGTGCACCGACGCCCCGACATCTACCCCAACCCCACCAAGTTCGATCCGGACAACTTCCTGCCCGAGAGGATGGCCAACAGGCATTACTACTCCTTCATTCCCTTCAGCGCTGGTCCCAGGAGCTGTGTGGGTCGCAAGTACGCCATGCTGAAGCTGAAGGTACTGCTGTCCACCATCGTGAGGAACTACATTGTCCACTCCACTGACACAGAGGCGGACTTCAAGCTGCAGGCTGACATCATCCTGAAGCTGGAGAACGGATTCAATGTCTCATTGGAGAAGCGTCAGTATGCCACGGTGGCCTAAGAACCTTTCAGACAGAACCCAGAACTCCGAACCCAGCCCTGTATATAGACGATGAATCCCGTTGCTTATCCCGACCGAAAACCACGATGACGACGAACCCATATATATCCGAATATCCGAACAACCGAAGAAGAACCCAGCACACAAGCCAGCCAGAGAGTCAACCTATTTTTCTTTCGTTTTTTTCTCGTTTCTATATCTAAATGGATAATACCTATTTGTTTGTTGGTCTTTAGCGGGTGGTGCCCCTATGTATACCTATATACCATATCCTTTTAACCAACTTTTCAACGCAACTCTTTGTGCTCTTCACTTTTTTTCCCCTACTTTTTCAACTTCTATCGCTATCTTTATTTTTTTTCCTAGCCATGTAGTGTAATTTTTTTTCTATTCTATTCTATTCTATTCTATTCTAGTATTTATTAAGTCAAATGGTTTGTATGAAACCCAAAAAGTTATGAAAAATACATGTACGTCAGGCAAGTAGCCAATGGAGCTGCAAAAAAAATGTAAATCCACTTGTTTTGGTGCTTTTGGTCGAGGAAGGGAAACTAATTCGTTGGGATTTTCTTATAAGCGATTTAAAGCGAACCTTTTGAAGAGGCATCAAGTTTTAGGATTTAATGTAGCTTTTCAGAATGTTAAATTAGAAACTTTTAGAGGCATTCCATTATAAAATCTGATACGGTTTTCATACCTCTCTTTTTCGGAAATTTTTAAAGGGGTGACATAAAAATCTAAAAAATCGATAAAAATTTCAAAACTTACTTTTGAACACAACTTTGAAGATCATTAAAAAACAAACTTTTTGAGACATTCCACTTAAAAATCCGATGAAAATAGGCAAAGATGTAAGCGAGAAGGTCGAGTTTAGGGTTCCTTTTTGATACTTCTCTTTTTCGGAAATTTCGAAAGGGGGTACATCATAGAAAATGTCATAAATTTGCAAAAAAAATCAAAATCCAGATTTGAATGCAGATTTTTAGATTGATTAAAAAGAAACATTTTGAGGTATCCCATCAAAATATCCGATGAAAATTAGTAAAGTTGTGAAGTGAGAAGTTTGAGTTTGGGGTCCTTTTTTGACAGCCCCTCTTCCGGGAACTCTGAAAGGGGTAACCTCATAAAAAATATCAAAAATCGACAAAAATTTCAAAATTTACTTTTGAACACAACTATTAAGATAAATAAAAAACAAACTTTTTAAGATATTCCACATCAAAATCCCATAAAAATTGGCAAAGATGTGGAACGAGAAGTTTAAGTTTTTGTTATATTTTGGGTAGCCCCCTCGAAAGAGAAGTTCTGCAGCGATTCAGTTAGGAAGAGATAAAGTCAAAATGCTGGTAACTGCTGATTTTGAATAATTTATTTCTGTGCAACATGCAGCAGGCTCGTACAATGCCATAAGCGCTAATGCGAGGCAATCGGCAGTTTGAAAACGGCTGGCGATGTCAAAATATTGATGCAGGGCCTCTGTCCTTGGCCAGGTATTTCGTTTCCTTAGTTCATGTTGCCCGAATCTCTGTTACCTGTTCGAATTTGTTAGCATTATGCTGATCTTAAGTCGACACCTCATTCGCCGGGCGATTTGTAATGCGATTAATCGGCCGAAGATGCTGACAAATGCAAATGCCATTGTGCCGAAATCGATGGCAGTTTATTGCGAGTTCGGGTTTCGGGCCATGGGGGAAGGGTACCTGAAATTCTCACTTCTCCTCTTTTTTTTTTTTGGATTTTTACTCTTTTGATTAGCAGAATTCCGCCTTGGGAGTCGGCTTTCACTTTTGGTCTTGTCTTTGGCAATTTTCCGGCCGATTTTCGTTCGCTTAACGAGCATCCGATTACGAAACGGAACGAAACGGAAATCCTTTCGGTTTCTTCCGCATTTCCTGTGTTGCCAAACACGATTAATGAACCCTTCTTTCCCCCGGCATCTTCAGCATCTCAGCCTCTCGGGCCGACATAAAAAATGGGACATGCAGCAGGTCCCCGAACGAGCCGAACGATACGCATCGATCCTGTTGGTCATTGTCCTTTTTTGCGTTAGGCAAATAGCGGCATTACCTGTGCATCTGAAATCCAATCCGATCTTCTCCGGCCTCCGGATGTTTGTGCACATTCATTCCGCTTTTTATGGCGGAATCGAAATTGAAATCCTTTCGGAAAGCAAACTGGAAATCGTCTGCGGGATATGTCCTTCATGCGTGACACTCCGGGACTTTCTTTTGATGACCGCCGAATGGCGAGGCTACTTCCCGAATGCCTAATGGCATCCCACGTGGCCGCTGCCATAAAATTGAGGTTTTGAAAACAGACTAAGATTGGCTTGGGTTAAGTGGCCTTTTCGGGTTGAGCTCATACGTTTGACAGAGTCAGAATCTTCCTCTAAATCCTTGGCTACTGCTTAAAACTTTCTTAATTGTTTAGATTTCGATATTAAGAGCACTTTAGGAATCGTTTTTGGTTATTTTACTAGCATCTTTTGATTCTGAAGTAAATCAGCAAGAATAGGAACTGTTTAGGTTCGCATTGATTGAGCTGTTTCCGGGATGTCTTCGTGTGGCCGCCTCATTGTGAGTGCTTCTCGAAAAGGACCCCACAGCTAGTCAGGAGTTGGGTCCAGGAACCTTGTCGACATCAAGTTGCATACAAAACAGCTTCAGAGGAAGAGAGTGTCGGACAAAGGGCTGAGGGAATCCTCGAACAAGGACATCTCAATCAATGCAAAACTGGATAACTGGCCAACGCTTCCTGGAGTGCGCTGCCATTGAATTTGGCCAACAGAAAGTGTCAAAATTGTGTTTGTCATACAATCGATCCTTTGATGACTCAATGCCGAGTACTCTACTCTCTGCTGCATGTCCTGGGAATAGTCCCTGCGGCCACCCTGGGCGCATTAGTCAAAACATTATAGTTCATTATACACAGGAATACAGGGTACGAGGCCCACGTGGATTCGGTGACATCGGTAGAGATATTCTTCTGGAAAACATGTGCAGCCAGGCCTGGCCTGGGGAGCAGCAGTTTCAATTAAGGCACCTAAAAGAGGAATCCATGGAAGACATGGAATGCCACATGTGTTGTCCTTATGCCACATGTCTTGTTATGGGCTCCACACTCACAGAACAACTTGATATTATGTCCTGGAAAGTAATGCAGATCGCTTCTTGGTGCATTTTTGCCCTTGAAGTTACTCAAATATTTTGTAAAGTGTATAGCAGTATGGCTGCATGGCATTAGGCTGGACCCAGGATGCAAGTCATGAATGAAATTAACTCGGATCCGTCAGCCGCAGCCATACGCAAGATCATCTCCGGTTGAAGTGGAAAGGAGAAAGGCATGGGAGGGGGGAAAGTTGTGGGCGGGGGGATTAGGTGAGCCACAGGCAGTTTCGGAAAGTGTTAACCTGCTTCCTTAACGAATTGTTGTCCAGGGTTATCCTCTTGACCTGGTTCCCAGTCGCTGGATTAAGCGCTTAAGGGTTTTAGCCACAAAGCGCGCACTTAAGTGCCTCATTGTGGAGTGAAGTGCGTCCACTCGAAGGTATAGAAAAACTAAAGAAACTGAAGAAAAAACTGAAGACTAGAATAATTAAGTAGCTGCTTTAGTTTAAGTAGATCGTAGATCGGCTTAGACTGCGGTTAATTTCGTAAGCCACAGCAAGTAGTATAATTGCCAGAGCAGAGTATCTATGACCCGGGGGAGAGGGCTAGCCAGCCAGAGATGAATGAAATCTCTGAATGAAACTAGATCACCAGGGATTGCCAGGGATCAGTGGATCAGGCAGGCACTCAAGTACTCAGGAAAGTGGTCAAATCCTTTAAGAACTTAACCAAAAGGAAACTGAATGAACTCGGGAGACCACTCACTCCACTTGCAATCCACTAATTGCTTAATCTTACTGGTAAATCTTTCTTAACTAAGTTAGTTTTCCCCTCCTCTCTCCTCTGCCATCTGAACTTGCGCCATCTGTCGCAATGACAATCTATACTCTGCAGCTCGTGTTCGATCGGGTCCAGAGATCAGCACCTGGCGGCCTCCTGGCTTATAATGGTAATGCAATATGCCCAGAAACCGGAGGAGGAGGGTCGGGCGTCGGGGGTGAGCCCAATCAAGTCAACGGTATGAGCATGCGCACACGCTAAATTGAACTGAAAACACAGTTCCCAGTCGTAACTCATTATTCCCGACGATGATTTATGAATATTCAATGGTGACATGTGGGGGCGTGACCCCCGATGGCATGGCGATGGGGAAAATCAAGAGTGATCGCGGCACACAGGGCTATGAAACCGAATCCTCCGATCGAAGGACACGAGTGGGTTAGAGACTTCATCTGTCCTTGCCCCGTAAGCCTTTTTGCATTCACCAAAGACCGCACTAACGGCAGTGATTTCCGAATCCGAACGGGAAAAATGCGAAATTCGATACGAAAACGGTTAAAGGGCGTGTCGCATTACCAATATTTAATAATTATAACGGTGCGTGAAAAAGATTTTCACTGCTAACGGTATAGCGGCACCCACCACTCTCCCAGAAAGAAGAAAGGTACCAGAAATACCTTTGCACCTGGATTGGGAAACTGGAAACTGAACGAAAACGGGAGGGGAGTTGTAGGCGAACTCAGGAGCTCGTGGTGTCGGAAAACTGAGACAGAGGGAAAAATTTGTTTGTTATCTTTAGAAAATGATGAAAATTTCTGCAAAATCAACGAACCTTCATCAAGAAAGGTTAACACTGAAAGGGAGAAAGTTTTTCCTCAGTGCATTACACGGATTCGTTTGGGTTCTTAGGGTCGTCGGGCTCTGCAGATGCCCGATCCTTTGGCATAAGGCCATCTTTTCTTAATGGCCAAACGATTTTCAATCGATTTTCCTCATTGTTCGTCCGTCTTGGATAATTTTGCATCATCTACCATATATTCTTTGGATTGGCGCGTTTTTCCTCTGTTTATTCTCCCGTTTCTCGGCCTGTTTGGGCAGATGTCCCAAAGGACAAAGGGACGGGCAGACGCAGACAGTGACGAGGACACGTAGGCACAGGACAATGAGCTCCTGCATACAATTAGCCAGAGGAGGAGAGCCTAGCGCCAAGTCAGCGTGAGGGTGAGAAAATATCCTATTAATAACGAGGCGACCAGTCAAGATTTTGCTACTTTAAATGCCAAAAGTATATGCCAGAATGTTCCGTAAGCAGTCCTTGGGGATTATGAATATTTTTTCAAGAAATGTGAAAGATGAGAGTGGGAAGTATAGAGCGATCTCTATCAAATGGTAGATGAAGTTCTAACAGCAGGAAGAACAGCTTTTAATGAGGTAATATCCATGGGAAAAGTGTGAGATTCAAGGATCATTTCATCACTTATGCAAATCCCAAACCCATTTGATATGAACTAATCGATGAGATTCGAAAGATTCCATCTAAAGGATCGACAATTTCCATGGCAGGACATTTTAAAGACCCTGCTTTTCAGGGGCAAACTGTTTGCTTTTGCGGTTTTCCCTATTAAATCCCTAATTAATATGCAGATAGGTCCTTGCCCTGAATGCATTTGGTGCCCTTTTACCCACCGCCCTAATGGTTTTCCACCTCCTCCCTCCGTTTTCCAGTGCATTTTTAATTACTTGTGCTTATGTCGAACGGGGCACATGTTCGAGTCGAGTCGAAGCGAACCGTTACAAACGAATCCCTAACACTTGCAACATGCCTCTCGATTCTCGATTCGAAATTCCCACGTTGCAGGGTTACGACTGTCATTTATCAGGACATGAGGACATAGGACTGGCTCATTTGAATGCCGGGGCACTGGAGCGCAGTGCCAGGATCTGCTACCCTCGCGATACACTCCTAAAAAAAAGGGGAAAATAAGCTTCGAATTGGTAGGCTTCGAAGTTGAAGTAAGAGTCATGCTATTTCCGAATACAACCCAATTTCTTGCAGTGCATATGCAAATACTTCTGGTTCCGCTCCCTGTCTATCGGTCGGCAGGACCTTTTGCATGCTTGGACGCTTATGAAAATGAACATGATATTCCGATTCCATTCCTCTCTCTTCCTCCGATGAATGTGCATGTTTGCCGGCCATTAGCCATAGTCTCTGAAACCCTTATATGGTATGCCAAAGCATTAGACAACGGATCGGAGATCGATCTCAAGGAGGCTCCCTACTGATCCCAAGTCATGTATAGTCCCCAAGCCAAGCATCTTTCCTCCACCTCCAAGCTGTACGAAAACAGAAATTCATTTGATTTTTCACCACTGGTCGTATATATTTCTCTTTCTCAACATTCTTGCAATTAAGTCTAGGAAAAAAAATGGTCTCTTAAGTAAGAACGGTTAAGAAGTAGATTAGGTTGGTAGGATATTATTAACTAGGACTGGCTCAACATTTAGCGCTTTATCAGGTTAACTATTTCGTAGCTGGGTCTCAGAAGGTTCTCCGTTTTGGTTTATATCACTAGATGACTTCAATATTCTCTCGTGTCCTTAGACTCGTTTCGTTTTTAGTTGCTATTTACACAATGACTCAGTCAGGGCTTAATTATGAAAAGAAAAAAAAAATAGTTGATGCTGCAGAAGTCTCCTGGCTACATGGAAAGATTGGTGGAGGCGCCATCGGACTTGGGTGTGTGTGCCTCCCACCAGTCGATGGCATCGATCATGCTCTCATCCGAAAGGCAACCACCGGCGGTGTTGTTGGGCTGCTCCTGCTGCAGGATGTCGCTGAACTCCTTCTTGAATCCGGGAAGAGCCACGGTATCGTAGAAGCTCACTGGCTCCTGGTCATAGAAAGCGGGCAAAATGGGCGAGGATCCCAGCATTTGAACTTGCTGCTGCGGTTGCTGCTGCTGCTGTGGTTGCTGCTGCTGATGCGGGGAAGTCAATGTGTTAATGTTGCTGCTGCTGCTGCTGCTGCTGCTGGTGGCGTTGGTGAATTCCTGTTTGATCAGTTGCTGTTGCAGCTGGGCGGCACACGCCTGCAAGAGCAGCTCATTCGTGGCGACAGGTGAAACCGGCGAGGAGCACGGACTTCGAAGCACCTTTTGCGGCACGGGCGATCGCGATAACTGGCCCGAAGCAGCTGCTACTCCTCCTCCTGTCTCCTGTTCCTGACTCAAATCGTCCAATAACTCAGCCGTCAGCAGTTGATAGGTATTCGTCCCTGGTATCCTGATGTACTGCATCCCATTGAGGGTAGTCAGGCTGGGCAGGAGATCTGTCGGTTGCTGGCTGTTCTGATTCTGATTCTGATTTTGATTCTGAATCTGATTCTCCACAGGCAAAGAAGGCAGGACTGTTGGCTGTGGCTCCTCCATTTCGTAGTTGCTTAGGGAATCATCGAAGTGCTCATCCAGACCATCGAATTCGTCCTTGATGAACATGAAGCTATCGTCGCCGGAGCCGGAACTATTGCCCTGGCTGTTGAGCGGTGGGAAATCAAAGCCAAGGAGCTTTTCCAGGCTTCTTATATACTCGACGGCCATGCGGAGGGTCTCCACTTTGGAAAGTTTCTTGCTGGCTCCTCTGCCCGCTCCCTGGGCCTCAAAGGCCTCGGAGACTTCTTCAGGAATCTTCTCCCGCAGCAAGGCGAATCCATTATTGACCTGCTTCACGCGGTTCCTTTCCCTGGCATTCCTACGGGCAACAGCCTGGGGCAGTGGCAGACCCTTCCTGCCGGGAGTTCCCAAAGTTTGCTCCGTTAGAAGTTTACTCGGCTGGGTGATGGCCGGCGTCTTTGGGGGCTTCTCCACGGCCAGTTTCTTGCTGGTCTTGCTCCTTTTGGCGGGCACTGAAGCTTTGCCTGGCTGCTGGTTCTGCTGGTTCTGTTGGTTCTGTTTCTGGGACTCGCCCAGGGGCCTCTTACGTTGACTAGGTACTGGTGTGGTACTCGTAGTGCTGGCCACGGCACTCTGGACCGCACCCAGCATGCCGAAGTCGCGGATCTTCCGAATGATCGTATTCTGATTGGCTATGTGCTGTTGCAGGGCGTTGGCGCCACTTTCACTCAGCACATTGTGAACGGTTATCTTGCCGAAGGGCTTCAAGGTGGCCTTGGGATTGGGATTGGGATTGGGATTGGGGTTCTCCTTGGCATTCTCTTTGGGCGGCGGCGATGGGCTGAAGCTGAGGGCAGCCATGGTTTTCGCTAGCTTGCTCGGTCTGTTTTGGTGTGGGCGAGCTGGGAAAACTTGTGGAAATCGCGGGCGTTCTGCTAGCACGTTGTTCCTTACTGAGCGAATGTTAAAAGGTGACTGATGTAATGTGGTTTTCGTGTCCCTGCGTCAGGACAGCTGCTGGCGTTCTGTGTCGCGTGCCCCGAAACTCCGAACTTCGACTAAAACGCAAACTCAACGGAAGTGACTTCGTTGACTGACACACACACACACTCGCACACTCGCACACACCAACACACACACTCGCACACTCTCACATAATAATAATCGAGGTATTTGAGGTCCTGCGTATCCCTTATGTAAAAGGCCTGACTTTTCATCCCCTAGACTGGGGTGTCCTTCCCTCGATCGCTCGAAAAAGAACACACACACACACACCTTTCTCACACACTCACACAGAGTACGGCTTTTGGGAAAACTAACATCTGATCGACTCGAGCCAAAAACTCCACCTGGTTTAAGGGTGGATTGCGCCCCGCTCTCTCTTCTTTTTCACATTTATTTATCGGGCATAAAAACAGCGTGTTTATATACCGCCCCTCTGCATGATATTATATATGCATATGGCCATAATATAATCTTGTATATAGCGGTAAACATATAGTCGGGGGGAGCTTTGGCAGCCTTGCCAGCTCGCAGGCAAGGATACTGAGGATACCTGAGAGTCTGCAAGGGATCTTGCCGAGGCGAGAGGTTAGTCTTGCCTTCAGCACCAAGGATTCCCAGACGATTCTCAGAGATATCCTCAGCACTATTTGGAAATTGCTTAGAGATTAAAGAAGTTTAAGGTATAGTTAGTAGGGGATTAAGATCTGGACTAATCTTATTTAGTAATCTTGGATGTAGTGCCTAGATGTTGGGCATTTCTTGTCAGTTTGAGTTAACCTTCAAGGGGCCTGTCCCAGGACATACTAGATAGAGTTTCCCAGATCCTGGCTGAAGATATTAAAGGCAATCAGGGCTGGCATTGTGCGAATTCATTTGCCAATTGTTGGGCTAATTACGGGAAATTAAAGAAGGCGAGAACCGAGATTCGTTCGGCCATAAATCCTAATTAAAATTGACAAGACGCCTGAGAGCCGAGTCCTTCGAGGGTGAGAAAACACCCATCACCCATTTCTCTAGCTACTTTTTTCTCTGGCAATTAGTCTTGTGGGAAAATAATATTCCGCCAGTAGTCTAGTTCTGGCATCTTGTTCATTTTTTCGCTTCTTTCTTTTCCGTTTTTGTTGTTTTTTTTCGGAAGCTTAGGTCTGTCTGAGGAAACTAGTTTTCGGTGAGCTACAATGAACTTTTTTTTTTCGGTCCGGACTCTCAGGTAGTTCCCAACGAACCTGAGTATATATGCTAGAGGAGTGTGTACGAGTGTGTGTTCGGTACTTGCTGCACAATTTACAAACTTGAGTTCACTTGAAAGGTTCAAGGAAACGGACTTGAGCGCAGGATCATCGACAGGGAAAAGGGGCTCTCGACTGCCGACTGCCGACTGCCAACTACCGGTTTTTGTTCCAGGATCCTCACCATCCATGATCCTTGCCTCTTGCTCCCCGCTCCTCGCTCGCCATATGCAGACAAGCTTTTCAAAGGAAAAGGAGTCAACGGTTGGGCGTACTGAAGAGCACCGCGGAGTCCTTGCTGCTCGGCATCCTTTGTTGTCCTCGAGGCTTTGACTCGGTTGCGTCCCACTTTGACAACGCGACACGACACGCCTCTCACGTGCACAGCGAGAAAATAGTAGGAAATTCAAATGCCTTGCAAGGTGCCCGAAATCAGCCAAGAAGGCAGCTCAGAGATGAGTTTCCAGCTGAGCTTTGTGATGAACTGAGGATACAGTAAAGATTCATATCCGTTGGAACAACCCTCCGATGGAGTTATAGTTTGTCTGATTCCCAGCGGGTTGAAAGTCACATTAATGTCATTCGCTTCCTCTAAGAACTCTTCGTTTCTCTCAGACTCACAGGGAGGATGAGTTAATGGTTAGGAACCTGGCAAGATCCCCCCCCCCAGGGGAATGACAAACTTGAGGGGTATATTCCCTACTTCGGAGAGGTGTTCTTATAGGGTGATAAGTATTCGAGGAGGATTGTGATCCCCTGAGTTATGGTTGGCATTTAAAACGAGCAGTTAAGGTGAAACTTTCTAGGCTGGGCCCAACCCCAAGGATCTCAGGCATTCCTTTCACATCTCCCCCACCTCTGGAAAACTAATATCCTGTTTTTTAATCCCGGCTTTCTGTTCTGATTTTTCTTGACTTTCATCTTCGGCGGCGGCTTGGGAAAATACAACAGTTTGGGCAAACAAAAACTAATTTGGATCTGGGGATTGGCAAACGGTTCGATGGTTTCTGGGCTATTTGCATTTGGAGAAGGCATCGATTTCAATGGGAAAATCGATGTGGAAAAATATGAATATAGATGGTGAATGAAATTCGAAATGGGAGTGAAAGCGGTGAGCAAACAGAAATGGGAAATGGGAAAACATTCAGCTCTCAGTTCTCAGACTCAGTTCTCAGCTCACACTCGGCAATCGTAAATCAATCAGGCAAAGCATTCAAAGTACTTTGACTTTGATCCCCTGGCAATAAATTGGCTTGGCTTTTCCATTCCTTTCAGTTTTCTTGTAACTCGAGGAAGGCGCCGAGTGAGTAGTGAGTAGTCCTCCTGGGGCCCTCATGTCCTGTGTACTGTTCGCTGTGTGTACTTGTCGTCGACTCAAGTGGATCCTTCAGGACTCGGGACTCGGTATCCTTCTGGGCTCGGCATCTGTGTGCAGTTGTCGCCTCACTGCCTCTGGTTTCTCGTTTTCGTGTTATTTCGTTTTGGATTTTTGGATTTATGAGTGGCGGAAACTTGAGGGAACGGAAGTCTTGCTGTGGAAGTCCTCGAAATAACTTCGGGACCAAGGAGGTCTGGGGGAAAAGTGACAGGATCCAGGCGAAGAAGAAAGGATGGCTCTGCGGGGGATCACAGTTGCGGGACAGCATTAACGAGACCTTTCTGGGTTTTAGGGAAGGGATCTGCGATCTGGGATCTGGGATCTTATATAAACTCGCTTAAGGGAAAGCTGAGAAAGCTTAATCTTTGTTAGGAAATGACTTTTGGTATCTTAACTTTAACATTTTCAAGTTGACTTGAGGATTGCCTTTCCTAACTCAAGAGAGTTTACTTTACATAATATATTCAGGGATCTGGCGAATCTTTTTTCTTCTTTCATTTTCCCCCCAAAAGGGAAAACGGCGGCTTCGGCTTGCGCCAAAAGTGTGCGAATGCGTCCAGTTTCGGTACCGTTTTCGAGAACAATGAAAAGCGAAAATTGTGAATTTCCCTAAAAAGTCGAACGCAGCTGAATGGACTGGTAATTACTGTTGCTGTTGTTGTTGTTGTTGCTGTTGCTGTGCGATCGCGCACGTGCCCTGTGCTCTACATTGGTGTGCGTGAGTGTCGGTGTGACTGTGCGTGTGTGCAACGCGATCTGGTTCTACCTGGGTCCCTGTACACAGAGAGAAAAGCCAAGAGAACTTGAAATGAATTTGATTTTTGAAGAAGTCCTCAAGGTATATCCTTTTCCATTCAATCCATTATTGCATCTTCGACTTGCCAGTTAGTTAGTAGTAAGTTAGTTCAGGTAATCCAGAATCCATCCCCATTTCTCTCTGTGTAGAGAAGAACACGGCCATGCGTATGTATATAAATATGGGACCATGTAGAAGTGAGGCCTCTTGGCGCGCTTTTCGGGGGTTGACAAACAACAATAAATTACCCTCACCCTCACCCTCGCCTGGCTACCCCCTCCCTCTCCCTCTCTCACCCTCTCTCTCCCGCAACCGCTCCCTCTGTTTTTGGGCCAGGTCCTGTTCCTGTTCCTATCCCGATCCCGATCCCGATCCTGATCCAATCTGGGAATATCTCGCTCGAGGCGCAAATGTACATAAAAAGCGGTACTAAAAATTAAGCAGTACACGGCGAGAAATTCCAACAGAGAACTTTTAAGGAGATTTAATAACTTAAACTTAACAGAATTTAAGACTTAATAGCTCCTACTTGTTGATCAATATTAAGCGATCATTAATCTTAACTTCTTAGACTAAATTTAGTTTAGATTTCTGGTTAATATTAGTTTGCAGTGCCAGTGGAGTTTTGACTGCAGGACACCGCCGAGGTCTCCCTCACCTTTGCCGACTCTGTCTCCTGACCCTCTCTTCTCGCCACTAGCCCCTTCCCACTCTAATGCCCTTTGTTCCGTTTTATATAGAATATATATCGTGTCCCGTGCTGGGGTCGCTGATCGCCGGCGATCCTGCATCGTCATCCTGCCGCGAAAAACATCTGCTCCTGCTGCACAGCAATCGCTCAACAGGGCCCTCTCTTTCCATAGACCCATAAACCCGTCTCTTTCTACGCACTGTGTCCCCCTCTCTCTCTCTCTCTGCCAGCAACCCCTGTGCCATGTCCTCCTGTACCTCCTGGGCACTGAGTAGGATTAGGGGGTGCTTGCATTAGGGATCGTCGCTAACTTTTGACCAGCCGGAAAGCTAATGAAAAATCAGAAAATCAGTCAGTGGGAGGTGGTTATATGTCGTTCGGACAACCTTAGGGTTCTATGTTCTTCTCATAAGTTCTAAGTTGGTTTCTAAGGGTGTTTGCCTTCTTAGATTCTAGCTCTATGAAGAGATCTGTAAAGTGATTTGATTTTAGTTGGATCTCTACTGTAGGTTATAGTTTTATATCATTAAAAGTTGAGGAGATATTCCTAGAAATAGCATCACACGTTGGACAGACTTTCCTGGCCTTGGCAGGGCATCGAAATGCTGCGAAAAGCAACCCCCTCAAAGTTCCAAGTGCAGCCCATGGGTAGTTGTTACTTTTGGCAAATCCGATGATGATTTCCGAGGGTGAGTGCTCGAGGATGAGGAGCAACAGGACTGCGACTAGGACTCGCAATTCCGCGGCAAACAAAGGCGAACAATGGCCAGAATTAATGCGCGAACAATCGGGGAATGGAAATCTATTTGAATAACCGATTACATGGCGAGGGGTAGAAACGAGCTTTTTTTTTCCTTTGTTCTCCCTGAAACTTGTTGCCCGGGGGGTGCAGGGAAAGGGGCGGGGCAGAGGTGCAGCAGGGAGCGGGGAGCGCACGCGCG